CATGAAGATTTTGCACTAGGTGCATTATAGGTGGAAAATATTATCTTTTCGTCACAGAAATTTTGCACTACAATAGCCTTTTTAATTGCTTTTAACTAGATTTTAATTGTAAAATTATGTTAGATTCTTTAAAGTAAATTCAGACCATTTGTAGGAAGATTCCATGTCTGACTTCCCATCGACCTCTCTTTTTTCTCAATTTTTTATGGCTTTGGTGTGTTATAGATGGAGAGAAATTCATATACCTGCATATACAAAAATCAAAGGAAACTGACAGATCTCATACACAAAAATCCACTAAAGCTAAAACATAAATTCATAATTTTACATGCTTGTTTTAAAATCATAATAAATCTGTTTGACTCAAAAAAAAAATAAGATCCTTAATTTTCAAACTCGACAAATAAATTGAAAAATGAATTCATTTACAGTGAGGAAAAAAATTATCTTGCCGTCCTAAAGGAAGAAAAAAGTCGTCAGAAAATCTATGAACAATGAAATGTTGAGAAAAATGAAGAAATAAATTAGGTTTTACATTTGTGGTGTAATAAGAATTTATTTAATTAAAAAGTATATCAAAATTCTAATTATGGATATTTTAGTAAATAAGAAAATGATGGTGTACTTAGTAAAATTTGTAGTGGTAATATAATTACCCTTAATTAAAATGTAAATTAGAAACATAAAAGTAAAATTTAACGATATAATAAAAATAGTCGGGACGGAGAATTATCAAGAAGGAAATCTACCTCTTCGATTCCGAGCAGCTGTCAACTACGAGAGATTACGAGAAGAGGTGCAATATGAGGTGCTTCATTGGATAGGAAGAAAACCAAAATGTGAAAATTTGAAATGAAGAAAATTGTTTTTCTACGTTTGTGGGAGAAAGATCACATTGTCAACTTATATATAGATGATGATTTTAGGGATGTTAGGTACTAATAATAATTGCTAAAAAAAAAAAAAAAAAAACCCGTAAATATGCCTATTCTTGAGCTCTTCCATGTGAGAAGTCAACGGAGTCAAAAAAAGACGTATCGTTGAAAACAATATTTTTTGTTTTTCCAATTCACACCCCATGATTTTAACGTGTCATGTTATGAATTTGGAGTTCTAGCTTTGACGTCATTCATTGATAAATAACTTTATTGTAGGTGAAATTGAAAATAAATTACTTAAATTGCTAAAAAATTTATTTTATTTTCTTTATCTGAAAATAAATAAATTAAGTAGCTTATTTTCAGATTCCAAGAGTAATAGTTCTTTTCTTGTAAGTAAATAACATTTGTACATTCCACGGAATGGACCCTAAACAGTTTATTAAGTCAAAGTATAAGATAAGCATACCTTGCAATCTTTATCAGTCGATTATTATTGAAATAATTTGTTTTTAGAGAATCAATTTAACTTGATATTTGATTTTATGTTACTTTGTAATTCAGCTAGAAACAAGTGAAAATGAGTAGTTTTTCACCGTAATGAAAAAAAAAAAAATCAATTTTAATAATTTAATGGATTTAAATATTTGCCACGCAATTAATGCATTTACATATTTGTTTCTAAATTAATTTGGCACAAATTAGTAATGAAACAAACACAATATTTAAAAAAAAAAAAAAACCACATTTCCTCATTAATTTATTGATATTTTAATTTGAATGATGAACATTAATTTTTCCCAAAGATGGTATGCATAGGCTCCAAAAATGATATTTTTGGGCATAAAACACGTTTCTTAAACATGACATGTCATATCAATGACGTGACGTGAAAAATACTACAGTAAAGTCATGCTTAAATTATGTATCGAAAAAATTTAATATTAAAAGTAACTATTTTGGTGCTAAACTAACTTAAATTTTGCGCTTAAATTACCATTTAATAGGAGGAAGATGGATATCACGGAGCCTTTCCAAGAACTTTATGCTTGGCTTTTGTATCTTCGCATCTGTTTGGCTCCTATTTTTTTTTTCAAATTTTAATGGTTGAAATAGTATTTTTTTTAAATGTATGGTTGAAAAAGAATGAAATTTTTTTTATTTGTGTATAATATTATTTTACGAAAAATTGTGTTATTTAAAATAAAAGAGAGAAAAATAATGAGAAAGAGAATGAGGCCAAACGAGGGCTTCATTTGCAGAAGGAACTTGGAGAACTTCATTGACAAGTCGAATGGAACCTCTTATGACCACCTTGAACCTGCATAGCCTAGTGGTGCAAAGGATATGAGTGATGTTATTTCACGTCTTGCTGGCTGTCGCAGTGTGGGGGTTCGATTCATAAGACATGGAATTGGACTCCTTGTAGGCGCAGTGTACAGGCAGTTCTTATTCCCTGGTTTGTTACGGCACATCCCGTGATTTACCTCTCTCACAAAACTCTAGGGGCGGGCAGTGCGGGCCCTCAAGGTTGGAGTTCAACCTTTTTTTTTTTTTTTGAAAGGAAAATTCCTGTTAGAAATCCAACATTAATAATGAGATTAAAATGATTTTAATGTGGCTGCCATTTCAATTACCTTATTTTCTTAAAATTGATTTTTGGCATTTAAGGATTGTTCATTAATCATCTCGAAATTGTTGGAATACAGATGCCCTTTTTAACAAATTGTAAGATTCTTCCCAAGAAAATGACTTTTCTTATTTTTCAACGCCAAAAGAAGATTGATTTCATCGATTTCAGCATTAGTCAATGAATCACACTGGTCATCACTTCATCTTTGTCGACTTTTTCTCCGAGATCATTTCTCGATTGAGAACTGAAATCTCGATTACCATTTTCAACACCAAAAGAAGATTGATTTCATCGATTTCAGCATGAGTCAACGAATCAATAGTCATGACTTCATCTTTGTCGATTTTTCCTCTGAGATCATTTCTCGGTTGAGGACCAAAATCTCGATTACCGAGACTTAGGAGCAACTTTACAGCATCAAACAATTCCTCCCCTTCCAATGTACAATAATCATAGAATATGAATTGAATAGCCTAGAACTTGTTTACTAGTAATTATAAATTAAATGTATTTGATTGATATAATTTTCACTTGAAAAATGTTGAAATTTTGGATTTTTTGGTGTTCATTTAATTTTTTTTTTATGGACATTATCGATTAAAGGGATAACATTTGTTATAATTGTAGATAAAATTTGTTTTCATTGTCAATTTTTTTTTAAAAAAAAAAAATAGAAGATGGAAAACCCATTTTCCACCACAACCAAAGGAATTGATTTTCCTTAAAATAGCAAGAAAATGTGGTCAAGTAAGAGGGGGAGGGGGGGAGGGGGAGATGAAAAACCAATTCTATGAAATTTGGATGTCATCAAATACATATTTTTGGATGAAAATGAAAAAGCAAGGGCATCAACCATAGCCCAAGTGTTTTTTGGAACCGGGAAATCAGAAGTCCCGGTGGTTTCTTAGCAAATTATTACAAGGAAACATAAAAATCATCTTGTACACTAGTCTCCAATTATGGACATCCTATAGGTTTATAGTCGATTCAAGACTAGGTGCAGGTGAATCCATACGAGAGAGAGAGAGAGAGAGAGAGAGAGAGAATCAACTATTAATTTTATATGACTTTATCGTGAACTTCCCAAAAATTATAGTATCCTCAATTGAAAATTTAACGAATTTTAAGTTCTTATAAATTTTTATGTCATTTACTGAATTCAATTAAATTCCACTAAAATTTAGTCGTCGGATTCTAATGGATTTCATTAATAACGGGACCTCAAGAGATTTGAACTTATTTCAAGTTTTAGAACACAAACTCTTGTGAAATTTTACCTTTTTAATGAGATTCTTATATTTTTCATGGAAATCTATTCAAATTCATGAAATTTATTAGAATTTATAGTCTTTTCAAATCTCATTCGAGACTAACCCTAAAAAAAGGAAATAAAGAAAAATCAATTTGGGATTTCAAAGGCAAAATTCCGGTCCCGACTCTTATTATTTTATTTTAATTTATATTACAATTTTTATACATTAAAAAAAAAGTAGATTAAAAAAGGAAGAATATTTCGCCTCAAGCTTTCCCCACAACCAAAAATTCCCACCAGGATGGGCAGAAGCGACAAAGACGGCCTCTGCCCGACACAGCTACACCTCAGTAAAATCCCCAATGCGATAGGGATGAGATGGCGGCCTCCCCACAACCCTTCTACACGTACAGAAGTATTTTTGCCAGAATACATAAAAAAAACTCACAGTTCTGAGGCCCACACACATTTTTGGTATTTTTTATACAATATAAGACCCACACACTTGTCTCTATTTTGTACACAGTCTGTGAAAAATTTTCTGTACACCCAGATTTTTTCTCCTAGCCTATTGCCACCACAAATGATATTGCTTAAGTTTATTCTCGAAATAGCATTTTTACTTTAAAATTTATAAAATATTTGGTTATAATGTTAGAATCTTAACCACTCCATTCTCAGTCGGGTCAGCAAGTTATTACACGAACTATTTCAATAATTCTCTCTCGCTACATTGGGTTGATATACATATAAAATTTTGTCAAAAGTCAATGTTTAAGTATATTATGCTTCGTTTGATAATCATTGTTTTCAAATTCTTTTATCCATATGTTCATTTTCAATAACACATTTTTGTAATAAAATATTATACATATAAATTCAAATCTTTTCCACACTTTTTAATTACTCATTCTCCTTAAGCCCCTGTTTGATTTTCATTACATTACATTCTATTTTTCTCTCCCCTATTTTCAACCAAACAATCTTCCATAAAATAATATTACACGTAAATCGAAAATTTTTCTTTCTTTTTCAACCACTCATTTTTCAAAAAATACTATTCTATACATTAAATTTTCCCCGTAATGGAGGCCAAACAGGGCGTAAAATCAATATTCACTTTTTCTTAGCATAGTCTCAATACTATTACATGTTTCTCGAGAAATTGAAAAACTCAAAAAGGAAAATTAAACAATTTTGAATTATAAAGGGGAAAAAATGTAAAAACCCGAAATTGTTTGATTTGAGTTCCTTCCTAAAAATTGAAGATAAAAATAATTATGCACAATTAATGCAATTACTCAAAACATTGATGATGGGTGAGAAAGATTCTTATGGAAAAATGCTAAAGAATCCTTTTTGCTTAAATTTTTTTCCCAACTAAAAAAATCCTTCCACGGAAAAAGTTTATTACATATATAATCCCATGTTTTCTTTGTCTTTATTTCCCTCGTAAACATATATTTTTATTAATTTTTGTTCCTCCTAAATCGTACATCAGTCTTTCTTCCTCTCTAGCGAAATCGAAAGGTATGGCCTTTTACCCTTCTTTTTCTCTTTTTGTCAATGCTTTTTTTAATTTTTTCAAGTTGGGTCCTTTGTTTCAACAAAAAAAAGTTGGTCTTTTATTTATTTTTTTCGGTTGAATTTTACCTTTTTTGGGGAATTTTTTCCCTTTTTTTCTTTAAGAAGGTATGCTCTTAGCATTGCTTTTTGTCGATCATTTTACTTAGAATTGTGTTTTTCCATTTTTCTTTTTTATTTAAAAAGGTCTTACTTTTACTTACTCTCTGATTTATGGTTTGTTTTAGAATCATGTAAAAAAAAAAATTTAGTATTATTTTTATTTAAAATTGATGTAGCATTCCATATATGGTTCTTCTGACATTAGTTGTGATATATATACATGTGTCTCTCTCTCTATTTTGTATTTATCAATGTATGTATATGTCTTCTGTTGTTATGTCCGTGTGCGTTGTAAAGGTTTCAGACGTTGTGCTGTTTGAGAGAGAGAGAGAGAGAGTTCTTAGCAAATGTATCTTTCTGATTTTATTTGTTCCTTTTTTGATAAGATTGATGCATAAACTATTTCTGTGTGGAAACTATATATTGTGTAAATTTATCGAAAATTTGGTTTTTCCTTAGTAAATACTTTCTTCGGAGCTCCACATATTCGCAAATCAACTTTTTACAAAGTATTTTTTGTCTGTTATTTTACATTTTGGGGTGAGGGGGAGTGAGGTGGAGCTGAATGATTTTTTTTATTTTTATTTTTTGAAACTTTTGTATTTATTGAAAAGGGATGAACTTGTGGACATTTGCTGAAGATACCTTTGAAATTCCACCATTATATTGATTTCATTGCATACTTGCATGTGGAGCTTATAAGTTCAATTAATGATATGCCGCATTATTTGATAGTTCTGTCCTTCCATTTATTTGGATATCTTCATTTATATACATCTTTGTCATACTTCAATACTTATTTTACTTAGAATCGTGTTTTTCCTTTTATATTTAAAAAAGGGTCTTCCTCTTACTTACTCTTTGATTTATGGTTTGTTTTAGAATCATATAAAGTTTTTATTTTTATTTTTTAGTATTGTTTTTATTTAAAACTGATGTAGCATTCCATATATGCTTCTTCTGACATTACTTATGATATATATACATGTGTCTCTTTCTCTGTTTTGTATATATCAATGTATATATATGTCTTCTGTTGTCATGTCCGTGTGCGTTGTAAATGTTTCGGATGTGCTATTGAGAGAGAGAGTTCTTAGCAAATGTATCTTTCTGGTTGTATTTGTTCCTTTTTGATAAGATTAATGCATAAAATATTTGTGTGTGGAAACTCTATACTGTGTAAATTTATTGAAAGCAAAGAAAGTTTGGTTTTTCCTTGGTAAATTCTTTCTTCGAAGCTCCACATATTCGCAGATCAACTTTTTACAAAGTATTTTTTGTCTGTTATTTTACATTTTGGGGTGACTGGTGAGGGGGAGTGAGGTGGAGCTGAATGATTTTTATTTTTATTTTTATTTTTTTTGAAACTTTATTCGTATTTATTGAGAAGGGATGAACTTGTAGAATGGGTATTTGCTGAAGAATCTACCTTTGAAATTCCACCTTCATATTGATTTCATTGCATACTTGCATGTGGAGCTTATAAGTTCAATCAATGATATTCTGCATTATTTGATAAATTGTCTTTCCATTTATTTGGATATCTTCATATTTATACATCTTTGTCATACTTCAATACTTATTAAAAAGACTGCTTGTGTTGTAAAAGTCTTTCCTAATATGATAATCGACCTTGTAGCATCCAAAATATACAAAAGATCAATTTTTTTGTTTACAGAATAGGAAACCTAAAAGTGTAATTCTATTATCCAAGAACAATTTGTATGCGTAGAAGTAATATTCCTTGATCTTCAGATCTTAAACTATCAATATCGCATGTGATCAATCGTATTCATTTTAATTCATTTTATGTGTTTGCCGTTCTCTATTGTGTTTGTTTGGAAGTCTTTTGAATAGGTGGTGGTTTGTATTAAAGAGGAAAGATAAGTATGATTAGCTTTCGTCAAATTTCATTAATTTGATGAAAAGTCTTTGATCAAATTTGCTTTGGTCTCAGGTTAATTTTTCTTCTTCTTTCAATTATTTGACACGTAAATTCCTAGAAGCAGAAGGGTTTGCAAAACGCAATTTTTACTTGTTTATTTTGACTACAGATTGCACCTTCGGATTTTATGTGTCTTTGATCACGTGAATTGATGTCCAATATGTGTTAAATGTCATCCCATCTAATGATAGATTTTTATGTTCCACTGCATGTTAATGTTGCAAATTGTAACATATCCTAATAGTGCCTGAATTAACTATGTTATCATGTAGATGGTTCTCAATTTCGACCTCAATTTTCCACCGCATGATGAGGATTCGTTGGGAATAAACAATTCCCTGAATGTTGATACGACTTTGAAGCTTGGACTTCCTTGCGTGCAAGTGAGGACATCTTTTGAGCCCGATGATGATGATGTAATACTTTGCTCTCCTAGGAGCTTCGCCGAGGTAAAAATGTCTACTATATTTTTAACCATTTTAATTTTATTGGAAAGTTGCAAGTCGTTTATTGATTTACAATTTTATTGTAGGCTGTTAATAAGTCCAGAAGGAACCGTATTGTAATAGAAGTTGTTGATGATGAATCTGAATTTCTGGGAGCCGCTTCAGGTGTCTGCTATTTTTACCAAGTTCTTTTTTTTATTTATATTGAGTTGAGATTTTGAAGAAGTACTTTTATCTCTTCAATAAAAAATTGATTTCTTGTTGCTTGTTTATTTTATATCATAATCCCCGTGACAAGAAAGTATAGATGCACTTTGTGGCAAAACACTGCATTCAAACCTCTATCTTGTTTGTCTGTTTGACGCTTACATTGACTGAACTTTCTTATCCTGAAATTTATAAAACAAGAACTATTTGATGCAGGCTAATTTTTTAGGCACTAAAGTGACCGAACGATTTTTGAATTTTAATTCAACATAACGTGAAAGTCGATTGAAAAACTATATGAACATGGCCCTGAACTGGAATTTTATATAATTTTTCAATTTCCTGGTGATGATTTTCTCAATCAAATAGAGTCTGCAAATTTATGTGTTTGGCAATCTTCAGTAGATTCTTGCATCAACGTGCTTTAAAAAACTGCCTAAATTACTACAGTACTAGACCATTTAAGTTTGTCAATAGTTATATAAATGTTTAAGGTACATTTCATTGGTATATATTTTTTCCAAATTGCATCACTTTTGGGGGTTGGTTTCTTTAGCATCTCGGACTCTGACACTTTTCTTATACTACAGCAAGGCGGCCTGGTAATGGTAACAGGCGGCCAAGAATGTCTACAAAACAAAGAGGTGGTGGTGTTAATACCGGCGTGCACTGGGAGGACCAAGATTTAGTGGAGGTACAATTACCTTTAGAACTATTGGATGACCTTATCGTATACATTATCTTCTTTGCTGTTACATAACAAAATTACCTTTCTTGTCCCTTTTTATTTGGGTTTAACTTTTATTTTTAGCTCGTAAAATTTCATTGGTAGATAGCGTTGATAATTGCCTTCTGCTGTCCACCCTTTTGGTAAATCAGTTATCACTATATTGACTTTGAACATCAAACCAGGCTTCCTAATGTGGACCAATGATTCCTTTCCCCCTAAGTGAAGGATTTTTTTCTGGTCCTTCAGGACATCTCTCATTATACCTTTACTACTAACACTCTTGTATTGCCATTTGTTATTGATCAAGAGCCCATCTCTCCCTTGACTTTTTATTTTTTTCTTAGATGACATAAGTGATTTCTTAAGAATTGAATATTTTTTCCTTTTCAAATGAATTTTAATATGGTTGATGTTAGAACTTCTTTTCATCTCAATTAATTTTTAACTGCAATAAATACAGATTTTTCGTCATATAATTCGATAGGAATTGAAAGATTGAAAAAACTGCATTCTAATTGTGCATGTTGAAGCAATAAACGCTGAACCCGAGTTGTAGAATGCCATGATCATTTAACCCACTCCCCCACGGTTTCTTTTGCTAGAATTCAACTTCTACACTGTAAACAGATTTAGATCTGTAAACACTGTTTAGCTACTGATAAGATCTCCTGTGTGCCCTGTATCTTAACCTTTTCAAATGCTTTTTCCTTCCATTTTTATAAATGCTAATTTTAATTATTTATCTTTTTATTTTGGTTTAGGCATTTTTCTAAGTATTGATCTTATCCATATTGCATTTGGAGGTTGAGAATCATGGTGATAAACCTACCAATATAAATAACTTATAATATTAGAATTTGAACTATGACTAATCAAGTTTAAACATTTTAAATAATGGTCCTCTTTGTCATTGCACCTGAGCTTTGCTCCTTTTATTGCTGAGATAATTCTATATTTTGGAAATCTATTTTGGTAACCATTTATCATCTTAACTGTTGAAAGTAGGCTACTGTTTATACAATATTTTATTGGCTCTCTTTCTTCTGTGGGATAACGTTGAATAACAATACATTGTTTTCTCTTGTTAGATGTTACGGTTTTATAATCAAATAACATTAAGTTGTTTGAGCTCATATAATTCTTTTCTTGATTTATTTATGCACGCCATGTAAGCTAGTTTTTACTTTCACATTCATTGGAATATCTAGGTCCTCAAATTTAAACCTTGGGCATCTACTCATGTTTTTGTCCGACACAATTCTTTTCTTTTCCTCGATATATTTTTTCTTACAACCTGACACTCAATTCGCCAAATTGTGATGTCTCAGTTATCCCAGCCTGTGCCACAGCAAAAAGCAGCCACATTTAGTTGCCCAGTTTGCATGGAACCAGTTGTTGAAGAAACATCGACCAAGTGTGGCCACATCTTCTGTAAAAAATGTATTACTGCTGCAATAGAAATTCAGCACAAATGTCCTACCTGTAGGCGTAAGCTTAAAGCGAAAGATGTTTTCAGGATCTACCTTCCTAATACTCAATAATTACTATATGCCCATGGTTCCGAATTCTGTGAGTGCTCCCTCTAATTTTATGACTTGTATTATTCACGTGATTACCTTAATCCGGACATAAATTTGGATGCTGGTTGAAATAAAAAATTTATCGACCCCTTCTTGATGCAGGATATCTCTTAAGGTAAAATTCAACTCATGAAGTGACCAATTCTTCATTTCTGAGCCAGCATTACATCTTCTTGGCAGGTTGATATTTCTTCAACGGTTTCCATGGGCATTTCACCGTTTGAACTCTGAACTTCGTTTTGCTTATCTTTATGCGGAGGCCTTTCATGAAAGATTTGCTCTCCCCTCCGCTCTGAGACGTGGTGGTTATTGGCTGATGGTTCATTTTGACTGCAGAACCATATGAAATCAGCTTTTAGTTTTATGTTTCCAGTATTACTCTCTCTAGAAATTTGTCTGTTGAATGATTTGGACAAAGTTTTTAATGGATGAGGATCCTTTGCAATGATTGATGCTAATACTTCGTTTTGGTCAGCGATTCCCTACGTACGTCCATGCATGACGTTCCCGTTTTACGTGTATAACAGAGATTCTTTGTAGTTGTTATTTTTTAATATTGTAGTTGCAGAAAATTTTCATGAGGAAAGAAATGGCAAAAATAGGTAAATTTTGATAAAGAATAAAAGAAAATTTTGACTATTTCGTGCATGCTCTTGACTAACTACAAAATTGGGTCATTCTAACCTTACATCTCTCCCTTTACAACTCTATAAACGACCAATGGGTTGTAGATGTCAAAATTATAGAACAAAATCCTCGACTACATTTAGCAAATATAAATTTCCGTATAATTTGTGAAAACGCAAGAGACAAGAAAGAGAATTAAAGAGAATTTAACTTGTTAAAAATCATTGTTGCTAAATTTCTCATTGGTTTTAACAATTGATTATACGTACAGTATGTGCGAACACATGATTGAAAATCTCACAACTCCAATAAGTTGAGACATTTACAAGTGCATATAGTTTAACCTTGGCCAAAAAATAAAGGAGCCAGTCAGCCATCTAGCTCCATCAGTACTGAAATCAGTTTTGCATCATATAGTACCCTGTTAAATATATAAAATCAGTGCAATAGATATCAAAATTTTCGAGGAAGTCACTTCTCCAAGCAACCTGAAGCTGCGTGTGTTGGCATTGTGGTCAAGGTGTAAAATTTAATACAAGTACCCGCCCATACACTACCAGGTCGAATCCTCTCGCTGCATTTCACCGGATGCTCCAGTTTTTGAAATCATAATGTTATTCTTGGCAGTTTGTTGGCCAATTTCACCAAAAAAATGGCGCTGCTTAGACTTTACCGCATCCACTTTCCCATCTTCATGGTCATAATTTTCCTTTTTTTGTTGGCCCGATGCTTAGCTGCAATTCTCAGCTTCCTCTTAGCATTTTTCATCGGATTTACCACAGCCATTACTTTTTCTTCGTGCTTCCTCTTATCCCGCTTCCCTTTGAGAATTTTCCTTATCTGATTGTAAATTTGAACGAAATTTGGCGATCCTGGTTTATCTACTTTATCTCTTATGCTGTCACGAACTTCTTGGGCTAATTGTTTCACATCATCTGGTATGGGAACATAGAGGTTACAATTTGGTCATCATCCCAGACAGAATGCCAATAAGAATGTCAAAAACAAAGGTGTAAAAGCAAAATATAGACCAACTCCGCAACTATTGGCTACAGAACTACTATATAATATGACAATAAAAAGATAAACAAGAATGAACACCATCTTCAGTCAGAACTAGAAAGTACAACCAAATTAGCAATAACATGTGCCACAAACGGTGACCCAATCAAATACTACATTTTCATTTCCAAGTCTATGCTTATTTAGGCTGCACATTTAAATACAGCAAATTAAGCCATTTTCAATAAATATGGAGTTAAATTAAGCCTTTTTCAATAAATATGGAGTTAGCAACATGAATTCTTATTCATCACTCCATCTGGTTCATGACTACATCTATTGGAAAATTTAAAGCAACTAGAATCGTGGTAATTGTAACAAGGCCGTCTCAAAAACGACTTCTCACACTACATTTAAAATATATTACAAAATTTCAAATCATGCGAAGTTTTACTAGGACAAGTGATGCAAGACTGGTCCACAATTATGAACATCCATCACCCATTTTAAAAGATACAGCTACTTGCGAAAAGCTTATAAACACAAATTTCAAAGAAAACTTTGTTAACACTAACACAGAAGTAGAAAAAAGTTATTTGGATTGTCAAATTAAGAAATTCCATTCACGTTTCACAGCATGCTTAGCAATCTCTGGAAGTTATGATCTAGGACATTGGTTGGACCACAAAATTAATCTTTATTGNCATTCACGTTTCACAGCATGCTTAGCAATCTCTGGAAGTTATGATCTAGGACATTGGTTGGACCACAAAATTAATCTTTATTGCTGTCCTCTGTTTAGTATCTCCTCGTTTTTCCACATGCAGTGCCTAAACTCATTCATGTGTATTGCAAGAAAAAACGTGTATGCTCGTTATATTTCTCTTAAAAATCCTCAGATTGCCTGCCATCATTATTCTAATCGTTGTTGATCATGTTGGCAAAAAAGAGTAAATATCTTTTGAAAGGATATATCAAGCTTCATTAATCTAGAGGATTTTACTATCATTAGAACAGAACTCTGATCATGCAGATGATATGGGACCAATCGGTGATTTTAAACTACATTAAGCCCGTTTGATTGCCTTTAAATTAACACTCTTTTTTCTACATATTCATATTAAACCACACATTCACATAATAAAATATTCTACACGTAAACCCAAAACTTTTTCCTTACTTTTTCACCACACATTCTCTAAAAATTCACTATTCAAAACATTATTTTTGGTAAATAATGGAGGGGCTAAATGGAAAGACAAATTAGAAATTTAGAAAAGACGCTTCATATGTCAAAGACATCTATTTTATGCGTCCAATTTATTACCAAAGGATCAGTCACACGAGCATTGCTTCGTTATGTAATTCAGGAACACAGTAAGCATTTACTTATGTTATAGCATCGTAATACATAAGCCATCACAACCAAGAATGCTGAAGCTATAAATTTCAAAGGCAAGAAATATGCAAACCGAACTATATAACTCAAGGTTTGAATTGACCATACTAACCTGAAATAACCGTTCCAGTAAACCCTTCACAGACTTTGTACAAAGGAAACAGCATTTGAAATGCATAATCATGGAAATCATCTTTGCCAACTGGTGCTAACATTTTATAGCAGTCAAGAAGTGCCGATGAAACTAATTTGAAACAATTGAAGACAATTTTCATCTGCAATAAAGAAATTATATGCCTCAGCACTATCGGACTTTCAAAAACATTTAATAAAATAAGAACTGTCAGCATGGTTGTATAATGAATCAAGACATTTGCTTGTTTACTATGGGACTTTCGAAAACATTTAATAAAATAAGAACTGATGGCATGGTTGTGCAAGGAATCAAGGAATGAGCTCAGAACAAGCCACCCTAACAAAAAGAGCAAGGTCAAAGGAATTCTGAGATGGGAAGAATTGACGTGATTCAAGCTCAAAAAACTTCCCCAAAGGGCTCAAAAGAGCTCCTTGGATTGGCTTTGGTCATAATTTCCAAGTTTATTGAGTTACAGCATAATCGTTCTTATAACATGTGATTAAATAAGCATATAGTGTGAACATTGGACTAGTTTCCTTGATAATAAAATATAATAATTATTAAATATATTGTTCCCAGAAATGTACCTGTGTGGCCTCCATCTGAAGGGAAATTTTTCCCATCCTCTGAAGCAAATAAGAAACAAAAAGATGCTGATGATGCTCATCATTCTTTGCATCATGCTGAACAACAAGGCCAGAAGTAATAGATAAAAGCGAGCTTCTACCCTTACTTGAGTCAAGAGCATGAAAAGCTTCAAGAAAACGGTCTTGCTCATTGTGTTCAAGGTTTGACCAAAACTCCGGAAGATTCATATATTTATTCTTAACTAGAAGAGAATGCAACCCACAAATTGAAAACACAAGATTTTTTACAATTAAATCGCCTGCAGCATCATCAATTAGCGGCACCTTCAGTTGGCAGCAAAGAGAAGCAGCTATAGAGAAAAGTCTGCTTGGTCTCATTAGAAAAAATATTTCTGGTGGCATTTCCTTGTTCTTGTTGCAAGTCTCAGTAATCACTTGAAAGTAGAAAGAGACAAGGCGATTTGATATATTGCGCAGCCACAAGTGAGGGTGCAATAGGAACTCACAGATAGTTTCCCATATATCCTGTATAAAGTCAAAGGAACTTACTAAACTCAATATAAATGGGGAAAAGATGGAAGGTAGGCGAAGAAAGTAATAGAAAGGTAGAAGTCAACCGGCACAAAATAATTTAAAAGCAGTAAATTTCAGAAAAGCTTCCAGAAAGCATCTAACGGGATCTACTAAATTTACAATAATGCTTCCATGAATAAAACTTGATAATCCGGGAAAAGTTTCAAATAAGGGGGTCATAATAGCTATATGAAAGAGTAGAAAAGAAACTCTTCATTCAGCCATTCAAAATAGGAAGCAAAAGTTAAATTCCAATACACTACATGATGAAGCAGAAACAGCTAGCTAGATTATATTGCAGGAAGTGACTACCCGATAATGACTTATTCCAGCTTTCATGTGCATTTATGATTCAGATAACCTAAAATCTAAGTTTCATCAACCATTTCCACGAAAGAAAATATAGTTCAAGTTGGACAAGTTAGACCAGGAAAAAAAGGAAAAAAATGGTACTGCTAGAACAATGGATCACTCACTACTATGCATTCACTGATACAAGCAACAGATCAGTCACTACTATGCATTCACTGATAAAAGCAACAGATCAGTACCTCAAGATCTCTGTCAAAGCACAAGTTACGAAATTTGAGTTGATCTAGGATCTTCTCAAACATAATAAATGAATAATATGCCTCCTTCCACCAAGGAATCACGGCTCCATCAGATAGATCTTGTTCAGATGTAAGAGCAGTGACAGCAAACTGTAAAATCCTTCTCATAGCTTGCAGTACACTAGTTAGGTGTTTTTCGAAACCGTTACTCATTACTTCGACCAGTAAACCCAGAACCTGTTAAAACATAATGAAGTAACTCATAGGAAAATAACCTGTATTTTAAGTGTTAAAAGAGAAAATGGCCTATATTAAACTTCTTTTCAGAATCCAGATTTGATTACGGTATATCATAATCTGTCAACAACAATTAAATTTTCCATAACTTGTTCATATCCGCAAAAGAATTTTATTGTAGCAAAATGTTGAAGATGTATTTAGATGGCGTACATTTAGCCTCATCTTATAGTTTCAATTTTTATATCAAGAGGTTCAGTATGGTATCAAAGTAAGAAAATGTGCAAATTTCAAGTCTGCACCACCCATTTAAATAAAACTGTTTGCGTGTTAGGCTTTAATGGTAAAAATGAATCCAGCCTACACGTGACGGAACATGTTGAAGATATAGTTAAATGATATGTATATGGTCTCATTTAACAGCTTAAGCTTTTAGATAAAGTGATTCAATATGAATTCAAATAATTGTAATATCAGAAAGTATTGGAAGCGCCTTTCACTTTTAGATTAAAGTTTGCCAACCTTCCTGTGAAAGAAGTCCAAAATTTCATGATAAAAATGGGGAAGAGGATGGTCCTTAAAAATCATTCTGAGGTGCTTAAAAGAAAGAAATATCCAAGCAAATATAGCAATTAGATACAACTAAACAAATAAATAAAAGCATCAATTCTCAAACATCCTCTGATTTTTATGGTTAATGCATGGTAAGATGGCACTCCTTATAAAGAGCTGCATTCGATAAGTAGGTGTTTTGTAGTTGTTACCAACATTGAGGTCAGGTACACGATAAACAGCAACATTTGATTTAGACAAGATTCATATATTTCTCTTTGTTTCCTGTAACTGAGACGCTGTTTAATAAAACACGAGATAAAATAAACTAGTGAAAACTGTACCTGAGCTGCAGCACCCCAGAGTTTCTGTTTTTCACCCTGATACCAAGACAAACTATACTCCAGAATGGTGTGAAGTGAATGCAGGCTCACATGCGTAATAAGACACTTGATTGCAGCAGCAGCCATCGAGCGGACTTTGCTGTCCTGATCATTTGCCAAGCAAACTACCAAATGCAGAAATACTGTCTGAGACTGTTTATCAAGAGTTACTTTTGGAAATTTCATTATTATAGCATGCAGCATTTCAAGGATGGCTTCTCTCCCAGTTGAATGCTCGTATCTGAAACATACTCAAAGTCATAATCATAGATAACTTCACAAAGAACAAGTACCGAAAAATACTGACAAAGCCAAAGTTCCTTACCTCAAATTTACAAGCAATAAGTCAAGATGTTGTTGCAAGCGCTTCCCTGAAAGACGATAGTCAAGCAAAAACTGGAGTAAAATTTGACTGCACTTCTTACGAACTGGTTCCAAATGACTTGTTACCATCAAATTGGCAACCCGCACAACGAGATCATATATCTCAGGAACTACAAGTTTCCGGTGCACAACTGCCTTCAACAGTGAAAGGGCAACAGATGAGGCATTTTTTTCAAGATCAACAAACAATGGAAAGTGGATCAACATCTGCAGCTGATCGGCTGAAAGTGTAACTTTAGTACTACGCAGAAGCACTGTCAACAACTTAATACATGACTCCATAGATTGAGTGTTAGCATTTACTGAACCTTGTGCAATAGCCAACAATGAAATCTTTATCTTGTCACCTTGGGATTCAAGGGATGGCAAATGAAGCCTCACTAGTGGAGACAGGCACCTAATTGCAGCAGATGCAATGCTTTCATATTTTGAACTCAAACATTTACACAATAAACTCACACAAGAGTCCAGCATTGATAGTAAGTCTTTGTCCTCTTTGTTAAGTTTCAGGTTCTTCATGTAATTCTGCAGCAACCCAAGAGCAAATGCCGTGATTAAATGACTAAATAATCCATTTGAGTTATTTAGTTGTCGGCACTCTTCATCCCTGTCTAGTTTACTTGCCTTTGAAACATAGCTATTTTCATATTCATTATGCTCGTTACTAATTCCATCTTCAATGAGGCCATATGTAAAGATAATGAGTTCAGTCTGGTTCACAGATGGATTGCGTTCAATACCGGCAGCTATGTGATTTAACATTTTCTCTAATTTCCATTTCACTTTCTGCGTAAGATGCTTCTGCAGATGAACTGTAACAGGTGAAAGTAGTTTCAGAACATGGGTCTTGAATGTGATACTTCGGGCAATTAATTCGAGAGTTTCATAAGACTTTTGCTTTCTAGTCTCCTTCATTTTTGAAGCAATTTTCTCCACTTCTTTCTCTTCGGAAACATCTCCAAGTATATCATTCTCTATTACAGATAGAAGATCTTCCAAACAGTAGTCCAGCTTTCCACAAACCGGATTGAGAAGGAACTTTGACAATATAAAATTGAGTGTGTAGCCCAGTACATGCAATTCATATCCTCTTTTCAAGATACCCTTCAAGACTTTGACTATAAATTGCAAGTACTCCAACCCAAGTTCCTTTAAACAAGCAGCCAATGCAGATCTAGACTCATCACGAACACTTTCCAAGCGGTTCTTCAGAAAATTGGAAATGCGATGAATTATATTTGGAAGCTGTGCATCCATAATTTCACCAGGCAGCAATTTTAGAAGCTTCAGTGCGACTAGACTGATGTTGACATTGACATTCTCATAATCAAAGCTCAACAAATTTTGAATTTTTGGGAGTAAATGCTTCTGCAGACACGTCTGTATGACAGGAAGTTCAGCAGAGCTCGTACATTTTCTCAATGTTATTGAAGAAGTCATTTCAATGGTGTACGGATCCAGAACATCACATGCAGAATCTTTGACTTCACAAACAGAAGGAACTTCTGAGAAATGGAATTGGACTAGGATAGCAATGATTAGCCGCAATAATAGCTTTTGCTTGTCTGGTTTTGATGTCATCTCTCTGAAGCATTTGTTTAGCAAAGCATAATATTGTTTCCACTTCATGCAACCAGAAACTGATGCGAGGGCATCAATACATGCGCTTTTCACATGTTCATCTTTTCCATTTTGTACATCCAACAGCATACTGAAAAGGAGCGGAACGAGAACTTTATTGGTAATAACCTGGTCAGTCATAAGAGTATTGTGAGCAAAAGTAATGCCACAGAAAGGAAACGGTTCCAAAAGGAAACTGAAATCATTACCTCAGACAGATTTCCCGACCCAACAATGTCCCTAAAACGAGACAGCGCCCTTGCTCTCCTGTGTTTCTGCAGAAACATGTCACGTGCCATTATAGAAAGATGATTTATCAATGCATGTAAATTCCCAACAAATAACTCAAAAGGCTATACCTGTAAGTGAACAATGTTGTTGAAGAAATCCTGTTCCGGGTCACTGTTGTGTAGAGCCTCGTATGACTTAAGGTTTGCCACCATTGGAAGCTTCAGCACCATTTCTCGAAGTAAATCCATCCACACCTGAAACCAAACACATTTATATTGAACTAGGGCTTATAATTATATGTGGCGTATTTCTCGATTTTAATAATATCAAGATGAAAATCCTAAACTGGCAACATGTGCTCAAGCGGGCACTCTCACGCCCCCCGTATAATTAGAACGTAGATGATAAAAAGTAGGAAACAAAAAGGACTCCAAAAAATCAGAACGCATTTAATAAATCATTCTTATAACCACTTCTCTCCGAATACTCCCCACATCCCCGTCAAATTATGGTAGGATAAAAACAGCTCAATGGCATTACTGCTGCTGAGCCTCTAAATTAAATCAAAAGAAATTTTAGACTTCTGACTTTCAAAGGATTTAATAGCCTATATTGAAATCAAAGGCATGGTAACTTCCTATCACAACAAAAACAAATGCCACATACAATTAGTAAGAAACGCATTTACGGACAAAAGTCAATATTTATCATTTTAAGTGGTGAAAATCTAATCGATGGAGGAGGGAGTACTGCTATTGTATTCATTTATGTTTGTGAATAACATTAAGTTTATGGATCATCCACCGTTATAAGTAGCATTTTCACGCATAGGATTGGCAACAGATGCACTTATTGTAAGCATTATTAGAGAAACACCAGAAGTCACAATGTCAAAACTACTGCATTTATATTAAAATATTACATGACATTCAGGAGCATATACTGAGAGGTTATAGGTAACATATCTGCTTCCAAAATTTTAAGAATTAATGTGTTGGATCACTCATTTAACATCACACTTGCACCACCAATCCATCTCTCTCTTCTCAGAACCATGAACCAAATGGACACACGCATGCACAAACCAGAGGTGTCAGAGAACCGTGTACTGATAACTTAACAAAAAGAGTACTAAAATGGAAATGAAGATTGAGAAAGAGAAGTAAAAGATGAAGGGAACAAAAAGAAAAACTTAAGTATCAAACAAAATACCTTTTGACAAGAACTTCCCTTGACCATTGCATTTCCCATATGCTTTAGAATGAAATCTTTTACTATACGGTGAATACTGGCTTCAGACCACATTTCTTGGTCACACTTCAACATTCCATTTAATATTTCACCAGCAAACTCAATGAAGGAAAGAAATAATTTAAATGCACTTTGCCTTAAAATCAATTCTTCGGATGACATGTCATGTATAGAATGTGATAAAAGGAGCAATGCATGCTCTTCTCGAACAGAATAGAAAAAATCTGAATTAATCTTTTCATAAGCACTGATTATTCGGTCATAGTCAAGACCACCCATCTCAATGGCAGATGTTGCATTCAGCTGACGAAGAAGTTTTGCCTGCACGAGACATACAATGATATTTGAGAAGATGAATATTTCCAGTATTTAGGGGTGGGAACAACCATTAAAAGAAAACATAGGAGGCAAGCATTACCACAACAAGTACAGAAGAATCACTTGCAGCAAGAGCATCTAGAACATCACATATAGCGACGCGGACAACCGGATCAGCTGAGATAAGAAGTGGGGAAACTGAATTGAGAATTTTCTTACCATTTCCTGTCCCCAGTACCATTGCCACTTGTCCAATGATTTGCAAAGTGGCAAAATAAGCATCTACAGGAACAAAACTGAGTGATGACAGACGAAAGATAAGAGGAATATATTTACATCCAGTCTCCCAAAAATGATAATCATATGAGGTTCTTACCAGAACTTTGGGGTCTCAGGGTCAGAAGTGGGAGCAAGATATCAACAAAAGCCCCTGCAGCTGAAGGTTCCTTTACATACTTCACCAACAGTTTAAAGACAGTGAGTTCTTTCTTCCCAGGACATTTGACCAGTTTCCTGCAGTAAAAGAAGGCAACATTCATGAGAAGAGATGTGCAACAAATATCAGGTCCATACAGTACATTTTATTTATATACCCATGAGAACCATAAACCGCAGGTTATACCATTAAGGCAAACTCAAGTTTTCACAGAGAACTTATATTGGGGTTTTTCTCTTGGTTTAGACATGAAGTAAATCACCACTTGAGTTAAGAATGAGAAGGTGCAGAGCACAACTGACTGCTGTTCTTTCAGAAAAGGGTGAAAATCTTACAAAAATTCAAATAAATGGATGTCATAACTTGAGCTAAATTCAAGCCTCCACTAGGAAAGGCCTCAGACAATGATATGAAGCTCTCAGTGCAAGACCTTGGGATATTTGTAGCAACAATATTCTACTATAATTTTATTCAGTTTAGTTGGATATTTCTTTCATAAACCTGTCTGCACATCACCGAAGGAAACAGTTCTAGTCTTTTCCTTATGAGTCAAAAAGAACATCCTATTTCTTATTCTGAAAATCTGCTATGCTCGCTCTTCCTTGACCCTTTTGATTAACTTGAAAAGTTCTGGATGACTAGTGCAATCCTTCAATCAAAAGATTTTCCAAGGTGACTAGGGTGCCCTGTGTTGATCTAATATTCATTCCTCGAAATCCTACACCACAGGTCATTGCCTTCTTATCTAACAAACCCACGGTTTTATGTCCACTTCAACATTGTTCTTCCTTTGCTTACTTTACATGGTATTTAATGAAGTAATACGAGTTTGCTCGAAGAATTTATTGATAACTAAAAAAAACCAAATTTCATTAACATAAGCATTCTACAGCTGAAATGAAGCAAGTCCAAGAACCACATTACCTCTTAGATGCATTATCCATAAAAAGACTCCGCAAGCTTCCAACAAGTACGTCAAGGTGAGGAAGCATTATGTTTTTGACAGAGCAGTCATCATCACCCAGTTCGCTATCGAGCTTCAGTAAGTTCTTGATGAACTTGAAAACAGAATTCACAATGAATTCAGATGCTGTCGTGATGGAAAGCATGGAAAATATGTCAGGAACAAGACTCCTCTCCCTGTATAACAGTGGCAGGAGTCTGTAGCTCCGACTCATAGCAAGAAAGCAAGAGAAGAGTGAACTTGGCTTCTCACTACTGGCACCTTCTTGCTTAAAACTAGAAATCAAGGGTTTCACTGATGTAAAGAACAGATCCCAAAATTGACAGCCAAAATCATGATCCTCATATTTACTAAGAACGAGATAAATGATCTTGAGGCATAAGGATCTCAATTCCTTGAACTGCTTCACAGATGTCCTCATCTGCACGCACATTAAAACTTTTGATTAGAATACTTTGGTTCATTCATGTGGGACTGATTGGTTCAGATTTCAGAAATATTCAGGAAAACGAGAACTGGAGACATTGTTAGCGATGTAAGATCATATCGGAAGGAAAGAACATAAACTATTTAAGGACAAGTCCTCTACATAAGAAACAAAGATATACAGATAACATGTCATAAACTATAACCAAATACTCCATGGGTGTAAGGCAGCCGATTAGACAACTTATATTCAATCGGCTAAGAAAATATTTGGACACAGAAAATGAGATTTCACAATAAACCTGGAAACTCTTGTCTATCTTCAATTCATAAAGTACTTTGCTCAAATAAACTGGAAGCTCTTTTGTCTAGTTCTAGTCCCATGAGAGGCATTTGTATGCATAAAACTCTAATTCTAAGCCAAATTGGATGTTTGATATACATGAACTCAGTACTAGAAGGGATGTAAAAGACAAGGAGGTGAAGTCATTGCTTCCTATTTATTTTCCATAAAAATAAGTGCACAGAATCTTAGCTACATTCTATCAACTGCATGCAGTAGAACAGACAAGGTGTCTGAAGAGATGGAAAGGATAACAAGATGTATATCTTCCAATAATCCTTTTTTATTTTATGGGAAATAGAGAGAGTATAAAAACTGAGAATTAAATACCATAAGTAATGTAGAAAAAGAAACAAGGATTTACTGGTTCGACTTGAAAATGAGAATAAAACGAAGAAAATTATGGGGGAAGAAACTTCTCTTAGATATTTCCCTCAATTATGTTTAATGATTGTTAGTCAAGAACATATCAAACTGGACAAATAATTTTTTCATTAATTAAAAATGGCGGACTTTTAAGTGTTACCTGGATTAGATCCTCCGCTTCATCAACATGCTCAGCCATGTCATTGTCGAAGCTAGGGCAATTATTCACAAAAGATCCAGTACTTTTTGCACTTTCAAGAGATGATGTGCAGTTTGCCAATATCTGGACAACGTACCCCGCCAATAAATCAAGAAATGGAGTCACACGTGATTCATCAAAAACTGCTAAAATATCTTCTACCACATGCAGAAAACCATATCTCTTTTTCCAAGATAGGGCTTTTATGGCATCCATGGTAAAATGCCTCAAGACACTAGATGTATCAAACTCATTCTTATAGCTTTCAGGTAAATTAAAAAATGTTCCACTGGCCACATCTACTCCTTGAGGAATGGTTTGCAGACGTCTTATTAATATGGAAAAGAAAAGAGGAAGCTCGTCAACATCAAGCTGAGCTAAGAAACCAAGAACCGCTCTTCGGTGATGTATACTTGTATTCTGAAAAATAAATGTATCTCGATGAATTTTGTAGGAAATCTAAAAAACCAAAACACCCCAAAAAAGATCAGCGAATTAGAAGATACATTTGAATCAAACATACCTTCTGGGAAGCAAGCGTCTTCAGTTTTCTCACTTTTGGCATTAGTAATCTTATGGCAATAGGCACAACATAAGTTCTGTGCCCCACATCAATGAGGTTTGATTCCCTGGATAAGCTCCATTTTGTGAGTTCCTCCCGTAGATTTTTTGTATTGATCAAATTTTTCAGGTGCTGATCATATGGGATTAAAAATTCATCTTTCCAGTTCATCAGGCTGTCAAGTACCTTCATCTGTAATTCAGCATCATTATCATCAAGCAGCCTGGAACATCACCACGACCACCCCCAACAATATAGAAAGAAGCAGCAGAAAGAAAAAAATTAATAAAAGAAAAAAATCTATGATTGATCAGTAAACTATTAAGGTCCTGAACTAGATATTTAAAAATATATAATGCTCAACAATTAAATGATAAAAGTGTAAACTCTACTTTGGTCTACCTAAACTGAAGAACATCCTTCAAAAACCGACTTAGATAGAAAGCCTTCGGATTCGGTAACAATCTGAACAGGCTTAACCACTCTTTAAGAACCCCTTTCCAATCTTTCCCTTTATGATCTATTGTATGTGATGTCACGCTGTTTTCGAATCACGGAGAACCAAGTTAGGCAAAAGAAGGCAACAATACTCATGCATAAGTTCACATGAGCACTAAAAAATAAAGGTACAGTCAAATATAATCACCTTGAAAGGTCATCAACATTGTAGCCCAGAAACTTCAGGAACAAAGGTATTATTTGGCGATTCCGAGACTCTGCTATAGAGGGGATTTTCTGCAAAGATTGAATCAAGAGGGACAGCACTGTGGCACATGGCGTACTATCAAACGAAGGAAAAACAAAGGAATTAAACTGTCCCGCCAAATCTGTGCAATAAACACAATGATCAGCATTAGTTTTGGTTCTTTAACTCTAAAAGCAGTCATCTCCGTAATGTTATTGACTTAAAAAAATGCAGATATGATTTGTTTGGGGAATTCCAAACTCATTATTTTTTCTGTCTTATCCATGTCCAGAGACACATGAAAGTATATACTTGAGGAGAGGAATAACAACAGATATCAGTTCGTGGATGATATAGAACATGACTTGAAAAAAATAATAAATAAATAAAAGATTGGCAGGAATGGCAGCAAACAAAATCAGTCCTTAAAAAAGCAGCAGCCATAATAGGCATGGTAGATACCACTACACTGGTTAGTCTGAGTATCAACTCTGCCTCTGCCAGATTGTTTGTGAGACGATAGAAAAATAGACTGACAATTGTCAAGATGCCTAACATATATATCCCACAGTATCTCAAGATATTGGCTTAGGAGAACACCAAGGCACTCCATGGCTGGGTTCCATAAATAGCTAAATCTGTTGTGAAAGATGCCAATGATTCCATGTAAAACAATAGGCAGATATTGTTCAGCTACTCTTCCAGCAGATAGACCCATCTGTATCTTGGATATCAATAGAATGACTTTCCTGCTTGTAGCAATTGAAAGTGGTGTTTCTTCAATTGATTGGAGAAGCTTGAGAACCTAGAATTAGAGAGAAAATAAACTTATTAACCAACATACAATACGGAATTACATATAAGACACAGATAGTATGAAATATACATTATTGCCCTGGTCATCTACATGACAAGCCTCAGAACCATCCACTATCATTTTGTTAGCACCAAGATGTTCGTTCATCGATGTCTCATAATTTGAAGGCTCATAATGGCACAATATTCTCAAGGTAGAAAGGCGGATCTCTTTGTGAGCATGGCAGAGATTTTCAGCAAATATGTCTAACACATCTATCGCCTTTCCAGCTAGAAGTTCTGTTCGAATTATAGACCTTCATTGCAAAATTCTCGAAGCTTAGTGGAGTACAAAGTATTGAAGCAAAAAAATAACGAAGCAAACACTTACAAGAGATATAATTAAAGCTAGGACCAACTCACCCTGAAACTGAATCCAATATGTTGGCCACAGAAGATAAGATCTGAGGTGATGCCTTGTATCTTTTTGCAAGATCCAAGAATTTGCTCATGACGGGTTCGTTATATACAGTGCTATTACTAAAAACCAACTTATGATAAGATCGCAAGGCAGCACCAATCAGGCTCTGGTAAGCGTTTCTTCTTGCAATGCACCCTTGATCTAAAAAACGAAGCAACAAGAAAATCTACATAAAATTGTGTATGACAGACCAAGAGGATATTTGAACAGTAATATCACTTATCAAAGTAACTAGAAAATTTTTAAGACAAAAATCATGGCATTTCTTCTCTCAATCAATCCACCAGAGATCAAACATTTATATTAAATCTAGTGCACGTCTTTTTATACAGACAACATTTATCTACATCGTTATTACAGTAAGCATGAAGACAATGCTGTCAAACAGAAGTCTCATCAGTTCTTGACCACGAAATTACTAGATAATAGTTGATTTGCCTGAATAGGGACAGAAATATTCATTTCACAATTCCGAACAAAAAAATAACTATATGACAACAGTTCAGTTTTCACAAGCGAAGATTCTATTACCATTTTCACCAAACAGCACTTATTAATAAACAGATCGATTTACAAACAATCTCCTCACTTGCAACTGATCAAAAATTTTTTTTCCAAATAATATATGCAACAAAAGAATTCAACAATTTCAGAGAAAATATCTTACCTATTTCCGTCATCAGAAATTCATCCATTGCCTTTATCAAGTTCATCAGTAAGGATGGATTTTCTTGGGCACCTGCCACGTGAGGATAGCACCCAATAACACCCCATAGGACAGGCAACCTATTTTCTTGAATTTCATTAGATCCTTTAATAGCATTCGAGATTACTCCAATCCAGTAACTGATACATTCACGAAGAAAGACACGAAGTCTCGAAAGATTTTCACTGGAGTTCACATCATAGAAGGCAGAGCTCTGCCCTTCCATTTTCTCACAGAAACTTAGCAATAAATTTATAACATCGTCTTCTGGACCTTCTACTAAATTACTGAATGCACTGAAATCAATAAAAAAAAAACTTAAATAAAAAATAACCAAAATAATAGTAGACAGAGACCTTTCATATATAATATTATTCAAAGGAACAACATTGTAAGTACAGTATTAACAAAAAAAGGTACCTTAATATATTAGTTCCAAAAACACGGAGAATGCATGGGTCCTTCAATAGAAGATCTCTAATGAAAATCAGCAAACTGAAACCCAAACAGAAGTGGGCATTCACACAGAAAGTGAGAAGTCAGAGTCACGGTAATGATCAGGAATGGCAGGAAATGCTGAAGGTTAAAGAGTCGGTTGAAATGTAGGGGAAGTTACATTAAAAGATACCTATGATTCCTTAAGTCAAATACTGGCCCCCACTGTGACGAAAGGTCCATCAAATCCATCTTGGTATTTGGATTGCAGAGACCATCAAGAATGCAAAGCATCAACTTCAAAATTTTATCAATGATTTCTGATGATTGGTCCACTACCTCGACAGCGAGATGAGGCAGAACAGAAGTCTGCAGAAGCAGACCGACTAGTTGAAGCATTCGCTTGTAATCTGTACAACATAAAAATCTTTAGATGTGGGCAGAGTAGGTGCAATGCAGAGGACTAACAAACCAAGAGAATGCCAAAGCCTACCAGAGATTTTCTGCGCGTGATCATTTTGCATGGTGGATATAAGAAGAGACAGAAGCCGACTAAGGTGCAATGAGTTGCCATTGGCCACACAATCAGTTATTTTGTCGCATAAGCATTTCCACATAGAATGCAACCCTTCAGGATCTAGCTCCGCATATAATCTTTGAAAGGTCAGAATCAAAACTTCAAGAATCGTGGTTGAGCCTGAGTATGCATGCAAATATTGAGATTCAATATTAAAAGAAGCAAAGATGGTTACTGATTGCGATTAGAGAGCGCACCTTCCACACTTTGATTTTCAAAAAAGGAGCTGTTCAACAGTAGCGTCAATACCATCTCTGTCTTAGAATGTAATCTTGACGAAGTTATTCTCATAACATGTGACAGTAATGAACTGACTCCCGATTTTCTTGTTTCTGATGGTTCCTCTGCAACTTCAAGCATAGCATTCCTAATATCTGTTCCAATTTTAACATTAATAATCATGTATTGAGTCAAAATAATATAATCATGATATAGCCTCATGGAAGACTATGGTTGAATTCAGCCTAAGCATTGAATTAAGAAAAGTGAGCTTGTATTCCTTGTTTCACACGATAAACACACAGAGGAATTTGTACGCGTGTGACTATGATAAGTCATGTACCAACTTATCAAGATTAATTGGGCTTGCCTTAACATTTCAGAACGAAAAAAATATTTTCCAAGGGAAGATTAATTTTGTTGAAAAAGCAACAAAGTGGTTTCCAAGTTACATGTTCGCTGTAGCAGATATGTTGGAGATCCATTCACTTTGGTACGACCAAACGAAGTACATTATTAAAATTGCATTGCGCTTACACATATTTCCACGTAATACTGAACAGTGAAAACAGAAGCATTTGGTGAATATACACAAATGCATCTGAAGATTAAAAAAAGAAAATGCACGCACTACTTTTGTTATATGCATAGAGAATATATATATATATTTCTGTCCTGATTTAGACATGATAAAATAAATAATCACACAATGATACACAATTAAATTGTCTAATCTCAACAAATGGGCAAGTGATTTATAACAGGAAGCCAAACCTCGTTTTAGATGCTGAACGGGTGTTTTCCTTAATAAGAATGAGACTGATTCCGCCATGAATTCTCGAACATAGTCCCTGGGGTAGTATCTTAATTTTACTGTAATGCTGAGGAAGCAAGACAGAGTCAAAATCAGAGAAAGAGAGAGAGAAACATTCTCATAACACGTGCTCATGGAAACAGTAAATATTACATCATGACCCAAAACAATCATATTGAATAAAACACAGGTACTCAAGGACATATGACTATATAGAGTTGTAAATATCATCTTAAGGTTTCCATACAGCAATTTTTTGTTTAAAAGTTTGGAAACCCCAACATTCCTGAAGAAACACCATTACACATCTATGAGGTCCTTAAGATTTGTCCTCAACACTTGATGTCACCACTTCTAAAACTTCATATTCAGGAAAAGGCTTCTCGAGATGTGATCAATGTCAACTATACTTCATTTTCTATTACCAAAAAATGTACTTGTACACTATCATTGACACACATTAGTGAAGTATTTTATCTTATTCTAAAGTGGGTAGGTGCGTATGTTCTCGGGCAATTGTAATACATGGAACACTGTAACCTGATAGCAGAATGATTTCGACTTCAAATTAGTAGTACTTTCTCAAAGGAAGAAGATAAAAAACAGTCTCTTTTCGCCTCAACCCCTCCAAACCAGAGAAGCAGCATTGAGGTGGACTTACAAATTCTGTACCAAGAAATGTTCTTATATATCAAAGATAAAAACCATAGGATTTATAAAATTGAGCTCAAGATTAATATGGTGATTTTCTTGCTCCTCTGGTGTAGAAATTCCAAGTTACCCAACACCAATTTGCCAAAAATAAAAAACAAGCAGAAAAAACTTGAAGTTCATAACAGATATATTTTTGCTGTCTAACAAGGTTGTCGTCATTCTTTCTGGACAAATAAGAAAGGAACAAAACAAAATAACTACCTTAAGACATGACCAACTTGTCTGATAAGATACTTCTGCAAGTACATCAAAATATAGGACCATGATGTGAAAATCTACAACAACAAAGAAAAAATGCTTTAGAATTTATTTGTCTTTTAATGAACTATCACAAACAGAAATGCATTCAACTGAGGGACAATCCAGGACCTGCTCAATGATTTCTGGTTCTCTATCAGCACCGCTTTCAAGAAGAGATGTCAAAGAATCGGCAATCCTTTGGAGAAAGCTGCAAGGACAAAAGGTACAAGAAAAATCAAATTAATAAAAATTAGCCCCTGTTTGACACGCATTAAAACAAAACTCTTTTTTTCTCTAACTCATTTTCTACAACACATTCTTAAAGTAAATTATTTCGCACCTCCAATTTTTTAACCACACATTCTCCAAAAATCACTATTCAATTCATTTTAGTGGTTGTCAAAAAGAGGCTTAGTGAAAATTAATTTTGAAGGCATCATTTTAATTTGCTCAGTATTATCTACAAAACCTAACTTGGAGGTGTAGACATTGTTTCTAGTTTCAACATCAATGAAATATTGATGCCTACCCACTTCCTCAGTAACATTGAATTGAAATACAGCATCCCGTAATGATTGAGGGCAAAAAGATAATTACATCAAGAAAACAGAATTATATGTACAAATCATAATTGATTAAGAAATAAATTGAAGGCCAAAAGGAAAAAATAGAAAGGTATAGCTATAGGTGAAGAAGTGTGATTATCGGGAGGACCCATTTCTAGGTCTCAGGAAACACTGGAACTCCTTTAAAGCCCCAAATCCAAATCTGAGGCATCTGCCTCATAATACAAGCTGAAGGCAGGGCTGCTAGGTCAAAGAGGAATTTTGGAATTAAAAATCCTTTACCCCTGATATCAAAGCATCTTTTGCTATTTCTTTGTTTGCCCCTTGCTTAAAAATAGCAATATCATTGAACTTCCTGAACTAATGCTTCATTTTGGGCTATTACTCCTGTGTCTATGGAATTTATTTTAATTTGTATACTGTGCCTATACTGCCAGATCCTTGAGATTTAACCGAACGTAAAAGAAAGTTAAAATGCCAAATTCCATTTTTCACTTTTTACCTTTCACCAATTAAAACTGTTCAAGATATGTAATCATACAAACAAAGATAAAATGCAACAACACTTTAAGCTTGAGCATGAAAAGAAGGAACAAGTATCAAAAAAGAGAGATTATTTAGAAAGAAAAAGAAAATGCCGTAATAACAATACAAGTTCAGAAAGAGGGACTTACGGTATAAAATCTTCCAGTAGATCTCTGGATAAAGCAGCAATCAACCTACACCCATAAAACCATGATTTTTAGAAATTATAAACAGAAATGCATGTGAATGGAAAATCTGATGTTGCAGAATTTTAATCAATCCAATACGGTCAGATAAAAAATAACGATTTATCTAGCCTCTATTTAATCCTCATTACTTTCAAAATACATTTTTCTCTCTTTTCTTTTTAAACACAAATTTTTCAATAAAATAATATTACATGTAAATCCAAAATTTTTCTTAATTTCTAACCACACATTCTCTATCAATCTACTATTTCAAAATGTATTCTTACAACAAAATGGGGCTCAAACAGGCTCCTAATGTTATTGTAATCTATAAAAATTACAAAGGCTAAAATTAAGCATGGAATCAGTTAATTGTTTACTTGGCTAGTGAATGCAGATTGGCTAAATGTATCAAGTTTCATTTGGAACAATAAGATCAAACCATGGATTAGGTAATACAACAGCTTCCATATTTCCCATCCAGATCCCTCTACCCCGACTCCCATATATAGAATAAACAAAATCTCCTTGCACAAATGTGCAATCAGATGATATAGCAGCATTCCCCAAAAAATTCCAACTTTTACACATAACTTTCTATAAATATTTGATATGTGATATCTTCGATGATGTAACTAGCAATATCTCTGAATATAAATATCAAAGTGGTGAAAGACTGTGGTTGAAAGTAGAAGATTTTGGAGAACGAGTACAGACTTGGTGGGCATCTTATAATGTCAGGGATCTCCTAGTTTTGTGCTGGATCAAAAATTGAAGACTTTGAAAGAAGATTTAAAGAGATGGAATGAGGAGGTTGTTGGCAATGTGAAATGTCGTAAACTTCAGTATCTTTCCGATATAGAAGAATTGGATAGGTGGGAGGAGAGTCGAAGGTTGGCCGGGGAGGAGAAGGAAAGACGTAGAGTGCTAAGGGAAGAGCTGGAGAGGTTGGTAGAGATGGAAGAGATTAAATCCAGGATCACTTGGTTGAAAGAGGGGGATAAATGCACTAAGTTTTTTCACAAGGTTGCTAATTCTAATAGGAGCAACAATTCTATCACAGTGTTAGAGGTGGTTAGGGTTACTTATGAGGAACCACAAGAAATTGGAAGTCATCTAGTGAATTTCTATCAGAATCTCTATCGGGAGCAGTTTGAATGGAGACCGGAGTTGGAGGGATTGGATTTTTCTACTATCACGGGGGAGGATGCCATTTGGTTAGAGAGACCTTTTGGGAAGGATGAAATCAAGGAGGTAGTGTTTAGCATGAATGATGATAAAGCCCCTGGACTGGATGATTTTTCATTCTCATTCTACAAGGCATGTTGGGAGGTAGTGCGAGCAGACTCCTTACCTATTTTTTTAAACGTGGCAAGTTCTTGAAAAGCTCCAACGCTACATTTATTGTGCTAATCCCTAAGAAAGTGGGAGCGATTGATATTAAGGACTTCCGCCCTATTAGCCTAGTCAATGGGATGTATAAGATTATTGGGAAATTTCTGGCGAACAGATTGAAAGAGGTGCTAGGGAAAGTAGTGTCCAAGTTTCAAAATGATTTTGTAAAAGGGCGCCAAATTTTGGACTCGGTGCTTATAGCAAATGAATGCATTGACTCAAGATTGAGCTCAGGGTTCCGGGAATACTATGTAAACTCGATATTCAGAAGGCTTATGATCATATCAACTGGGGGTTCCTTTTGTATATGCCTAGGCGATGTGGCTTCAGAGATAAATGGTGTAAGTGGATCCAATTTTGTATTTCTATTGTTTCGTTCTCAGTTTTGGTCAATGGAACACCTGAGGGTTTTTTTCGGAGTAGTAGAGGATTGAGACAAGGGGAACCATTGTCTCCATTGTTATTTGTTATTGTGATGGAGGCTTTCAGTATAATGCTTGAAAGAGCTGTGGGAGAGGGTTTGATAAAGGGGTTTATGGTTGGTCACTTGCAAGTGTCCCACTTTTTATTTGCAGACGATACGTTGATTTTATGCGAGGCAAATTATGAACAATTCAAGAACTTGCGTCATTTGCTAATATACTTTGAAGCGGTGTCCAGATTGAAAATCAATTTGGGGAAATCTGAGGCTATTCCAGTAGGAGAGGTAGCTAACGTAGAGGTGCTGGCTGACATTTTGGGTTGTCGAGTTGCGCGGCTGCCTATGTCATAACTAGGACTTCCGTGAGGAGCACGATTTAAAAGTAGGCATATTTGAAATTGTATTGTGGAAAATGTGGAGAGGAGGTTAGCAGGGTGGAAGCGTATGTACCTCTCTAAGGGAGGCCGACTTACACTCATTAAATCCACTTTCTCTAATCTCCCCACTTACTTTTTGTCGTTGTTCCCTATTCCAGCTGTAGTGGCAAATAGATTAGAGAGACTTCAAAAGGAATTTCTCTGGGCAGGAATGGGGGTGGAGAGAACTTCATTTGGTTAATTGGGGTATTGTTTGTTCACCTATGAGGATGGGGGGCCTTGGAGTTAGGAGTCTTGTTTTGTTTAATAAGGCCTTATTGGGTAAGTGGTTGTGGCGATTTGGAGTAGAGAGAGAAAACTTTTGGAGAGAAATCATAGAGGAGAAGTATGGTGTGTTGGAGGGGAGTTGGTGTACTGTTGTGGGTTGCGATTCCTATGGGGTGAGTTTGTGGAAGTATATTCGACGAGGATGGAGTGATTTTAAGGACAAATTGAATTTTGTGGTGGAGAATGGTAATGATATCAGATTTTGAGATGATCGTTGGTGTGGTGATCAACCGCTAAGTTAGGATTTCCTTTTTTGCACCGCATTTCTTTAGTGTCTTCTGCTATGATGAGTGATGTATTAGCCATTCATAATGGAAATTACAACTAAAATATTACTTTTGAGAGGCGCCTACAAGATTGGGAGTTGGATAATTATTCATTATTTTTGACATCTCTATATAAGGTACAGATTCAAGTAGGAGAGAATGATTGTAGCAGGTGGAAGTTGGCACGAGATGGTATCTTTTCTGTCCGTACTTATTTTAGATCCCTCTTGGGACCTACGGAGAGTTCATTTCCCTGGAAGCTGGTGTGACAAAGCAAATTGTCTCCACGGGTAGCATTCTTATTGTGGACGGTTCACGGTTGTAAGGGGACAGGTGTCAACGATGGATAATCTTCGACGAAAAGGCTTTTATGTAACCGAGTGGTACTATATGCACAAAAGGGATGGGGAGACAATAGACCACTTGTTCATTCATTGTGATAGTGTTCGATGGCTTAGAAATAATATCCTGGCTTCTCAATCTATGAGTTAGGTGCTGCCAAGGCGTATAAAGGACGTATTGCAGGCATGGAGGTGAAAATTTCGTGATAAGGATAGCAAACTTGTATGGAACCTTATCCCGGGATGCATTGCAAGGTGTGTTTGGAAAGAAAGGAACAACCGTTGTTTCAAAGATGGAACAACCGTTGTTTCAGAGATCAAACAACCAATTTGACTTTGTATAATTGGTTTAATGCTGCAGCTAAAAATCCTGTAGAAGGGTTGCCTAATTTTATGTCGTTCCTCTCCTGCTTGAAGTGATTGTACACATCCCATGTAATCTCTCTTAATTAATAAAATTATGTTTACCTATCAAAAAAAAAAAAAAAAAGTGTGAAAGACTGTTCAAAAATATCAGATTTAAAAATATATTCTTCAGAATGTAAATCCCAAGAATTCAAACAAAGTGCAAGCAGGAAGTAATGGACAGTTTGTTTGACCAAGAAGGAATACATAGTTACGTACTGGGACCCAGTTAATACTCTCCAGTCTCCTCTATTTATCAGTCAAGAATACAGTGGCACAAGATACCACATCCATGCCAAATCCAATACCACTGATGCAACGCTAACCTAGAAACCCCAGAAGGAGTATAGCGGTCATAAATATCAGTGTTGTCCCAAATTAGAGTGCACCACAGACTTAAAAATGGGTCTTAAATCAGAAGGCATCCAGTTGGCTAGAAAAGAAAAATAACAAAACTAATCATAATTCCTAGAAACTGGTCTGCTTACTTGACTAAGAAGTTTCCAGGATGAACTGCACAGATCATGCTTACGCATGTTATACAGTCAGCAAGCATGAAAGAAAGGCAATCTTTACAAACGTACTTTGTTGAGGGAAGGTGTAATTGCAAGTGGACGAAAAGGGAATTTTAGGAAAAAGATATTTTAGATCTCTTTCCCCCTTTTTGTTCCTATTACTTTCTATTTTTCTATTTTCTATCAATATATTGGCAAATGCTTATCGCTTGATTGAACTGAAATTTGTGATGGGTACACATTTTTTCTTATTGGTAATCAGATAATTTTATAAATCAAAGGAATTGTATTGTCAAAACAAGAAAAAACATGAAATTAGGCGGCCTTCTATATGATTAGTAGCCGCAGTATTAAACCAAGAAAATTTGTAATGGGTACACTTCACGATATGATACAATAAATCAATCTATGCAACCAGATGGAAAAAGACGATGATTTGAGGAGTAATAGAGAATAAGGATTATTAGTTATTATGATTGTACATCGTGTAAATGGTTACTAATTCGCTACAATACCTTAGTATGGGTTCAAGTGATAATCTCCCTTTCATTTTCAGTCTAGAAAGAAGATACGATAGTATCAATTCCTTTTGCAATATAATTTGTGGCAGTGTTTGTACCAAAGGGAACATTTCTTCATAAAATGAAATAAAATCCTCTGCAGTGTTCAATTCCTGCAGTCCGCACAATAACAGAAGTTGCATAAGAAAGAAATTCCTCAAAGTGAAAGTGCAAAGAATTTAGACATGCAAAATGCAATTTTGGTATGCATGAAAAAATCTATATATTGCCAATTTAAAAATGATGAGTTTGATGTTCCTTTAGAATTAAATTGTGAGCTGCCAGAACCAGACTCTAACACGTCTATTGTATAGACGTAAGTAGTATGTCAGAATAGATAGTTCATAAGTGCAGTAAGACACTAAAATATTTCTATGATATAGACATGAGTAGCACGTCATAAAAGAGAGTTTATAAGTGCAGTAAGACATGGCTGTGATATGGATGCAACAAGCATGCCTTTACATATAGTTCATAAGTCAAGAAATAATTCAAAGAATGAGGGAAACGATTAATTATAAATTATAGAAACGGAAAGAAATTACTTCCGCAAAAAGGATAGATGGGCAATATGGGGAAACGTCTATCTTGTCATTATACTGTAGAAATTATAAGTTGATACTAATCCCCTATGTTGCCATTAAAGGTGTTCCAATTTGTCATTCTGTGCTAAAAAACTTAAATGATAGAAAGAAGTAATGAGCTATTACAATCCATTTGGGAGTCCCTATATCCACCAACGATACATGTCTAGATAGCCAAGCCATTAATGCCAGACCAATTTTTTTGATGCATTGGTTGCAAATTCCCACCCAAATCTGACTGCATCTGTATTCAACATGTTTAGTCTGTATACATGGACTTTGTAAAGGATATAAAGTGAGAATTACAGAGGACGCTTATTAAGGTGAGTGTAGTCTCACGGCAATGCACGGCCTGGTGAATAGGTGCAAAGACACAAAAAAGAGCCTTTAAAGTTGCACAGTAAGCACAATTATATAACTTAAGACCTCATGCTGTCCTCGCTAAGTACCAAATTAACAAAGCCTTACACAAATTACTAGGATTGCTTATAACTTCTCTTCACATTCAAGCACCAAAACAACAATTCCAGGAACCCAACAACCATACAGCTCAAATAAAATCAAAATTACATAATCACAGCAAGTTGTAAGGCTTTACACCTTTCTTAATTCTATATCTCATTCCATATATGGCAAAAGTGAGGAATTGCTTGAATTCATCAACAACCCACTAACACCAAAACTTGAAATGAACCAACAAATTTAATAAAAACATAATATATACGTACTCTATATTCTATGATACAGTCACGGAAAAAGGAGGAGCCTTCAGAGGGCTCGGCTTTCAATGGGTTGAGACTTCGGTATACATCAATGTCAATTTCCTCTATTCTTTGCGAGAACGACTTGAACTGCACCCAGACAAATAAAACGATTATTATTCAATAATTTCGACTTTCAAACATGCCCTAGAACAAACATAGGCACAGATATGTTTAGAACATTATATAACTCATCAAGGAACTTACAGTAAATCGACGTCGACCAGGGCCTGTATTCAAAGATTTCACTGCTTGGCTATTTGAAGTAGTAGCCATTGTCAAATTCTAAGGATTTTCCGGTGTTGCTTCGCAATTTTGCGGGAGAGAGAATATATAGGACGGACAGGGTTTAGCTTAGGGGTTAACTAGCCGATTGATGAGTCGGTTTCGTTGAAGCCCAATTATCTTCGGTTATCTTACAAAAATACCCTAAAAATTAGCTTTTAAAAAATCATACGGAAGGTATTTTTGAAGTAAAAAATATTGTGTAAAATAAAGTTTCACATTTTAATATACAAAAAAAGTGATCCTCAAATTTAAAAAGGTGATATTGTGTCACTTTTTTTTATTAAAAATAACGTACAATATTATTTTTATTTAAAAGTAATGTTTATCACTAAAAAAAGTGATAAAAATTTAAAGAAAGTCATAAACACTAAAAAAAATGATGAATTTTTTTTAAAAAGTGACAAAACAATAATTCAAAAAAAGATATAAATTTATTTTTAAAAAAAGTGACAAATTCAGAAAAGGTGACGCAAATTCAAAAAATAAAAAAAGCGATAAAAAATAAAAAAGTGATGGACACTAAAAAATGACAAAATTTTAAAAAAGTTACAAAAAAAAAGTGACACAATTTCAAAAAAGTGACAAACACTCGGAAGTAATTAAACAACATTCAAAACATATGTTTGTCACTCATAAAAGTGAAAGTAATTTCAGAAGGAAGTTGCATACAATTAAAAAAAGCCTATAGAATTTCGAGAAATTGACAAAAAATAGTGACTAACACTCAAAAATGACAAAAATTGGAAAAAGAAGTAACAAAACACCATCCACAAAGTAATAAATAATTTGTGCTCATCAATACATAAATCTCTCTCTCTACACTAATGTATGGCTAAGTTTATGGTAGAAAGGCATGCTTGGTATGTAGGATTTGACAGTATAATAAAATATCAGCTTTCTCCTCCCTTAATACCTAGTAGAGTACTATTTAATCCGGTCTGTCATACAAGTGAATTGCATGTTGGTTATAATTTGGGAATTGCATATTTTCATCTATCGAGACAACACCAGCCCAACACAATTGAAGAATTGATAATTGAGATGATAAAAGAATAGGCTTGGAACGAAGATGGTGATATAAGTAGGGAAAACGATGTATAATATGTAGTCCTGAATAGTGACCCTACATTATTTCACCTAACTATAAACCTGCCTTTTTATTCCCAGCTCCTTAAACTATTAAATAAATCTACCAATGGATGCGAGAAATGAATTAATTCGGTGGGTACTGCAGCCTATTATGTACAACTACTCTTTATGTCTCACTTCTCTAAGCCCCATTATTTTTTATTATATTAAATTAAATTTTTCTCTCTCCTACTTTAACCACACAATTTTCAATAAAATAATATTACACGTAAATCAAAAAAATTTCAACCACTCATTTTTTTAAAAAAATACTATTCATCTCATTATAATTTACAAATAATGGGGCTCAAACGGCCCCTAAATAATATTACCACAAGAACCAAGGAACCTAAAAGTCCTCATTCTTGTCTGCTGGTTTTTCTCTGAAACTTGTATTGAAGAATCTGAGTTCGAATATGAATCTGAAAGAGGAATCGAGAAGATCTTGAGTGGGATTTTGATGAAGGATAGGTATAATCATGTATGAGGACAGTAGAAAAATCACGCGACAAGTATAGGGAAATATGCGGTTGACGGATGCTGTGAATTCATGCTGGTTGGGACAGAAGGAAGCCAAGGGGAGGGTAGGTTTGAGCGTATTAATTATTGGAGTAAAGATTCTAATTAATTTTAGGGGGTAGAATTCTAATTTGATAATTTTGAAGGGTAGTGGACCTAATTCCCCCCTCCCCATCTTCCCAGTCCGCCCAGTTAAAATACTGAGCCTCGGCCCAATGTCAATAAATAAAGCTTTGACTCTTCCAGAGAATCCGACCGCTTATGCATGTATATGCCATTTATCAAACTTTTAGTCCCCATTCGTCTTTCCCTTTAAAAAAAAAAATCTTATTTTTTCCACTCATTTTCAACAATATAATCACAAAATAAAATATTTTGTACGTAAATTTAAAAAAAAAACTATTTTTTTTAACCAAATATACTCTTGAAAATCAATATTTAAAACGTAATTTTTCTCAATAGTGACCATCAAACTGGGGCTTAGTATTGTGTGTGTCATATTCTTACTTGATAAAAATTGTCTATTTAAATGTTAAATGACAACGTGACATGCACGTAATGTGTGATCAAAAGAGTGACGTTTAATTTTATTTGAACCGTCGTCAGTTGATTTTTGAAACAAATAAAAAAATATCTTTTTTGAATTATTTTACTCTTTTAGTTCAATGTTATGCGCATCCAAAATTTTAATATCTCTAGTCAAGTGAGGTGCATATCTATAATAATAATAATAATAATAATAATAATAATAATAATAATAATAATAATAATAATAATAATAACCAGTGATAGTTAATTTTTGGACGATTCTAACTCTTCTCTAGTCCAATTATTTCAATATTACTTTATTTTTAAATTTTCACTGTGTACTTAATTTATTTAACCGTTTGAACAATATTATTATGAACTATTCTATTGACTAATTAGTTATCATCATGTACTTTTGACATATTCATTTCACTTGATTGAACGATAAATAATACTTGTAATATAATATATTGAATACCACATCAAGTGAGAAGCATTTTTTGTGACGGATCTAACCTTTTCTATAATTCGATTATTTCAATAATACTTTACTTTTCGATTTTCAATGTATGTTTAATTTATCTAACCATGAGAAGAATAATATCATGAGCTATTCTGCCAACTATTTAGTTATCATCAATGTATGTTTGATATATTCATTTCATCGATGAGACGGTAAATAGTTTAATAATTTCAATAATACTTTATTTTTTCATTTTTCAATATGCATTTAATCATTTGAATAATATTATCATGAATTATTTTGTCAACTATTTCATTAGAAAGATTTCAAGTCGAATACTATTCCTGCAATTATGGAAATTTTGATATTTTTAGGCTTATCCTAAATTATAAAGAGATGATACGTCCACTACGACGACTATTTATTTCATAACTACATTATATGTAGAAGAAACACATGGTATCTGATTTCTCTACAAGATATAAAATCTAAGTCATGTTATTCAATGATGCAATTAAAAATATTGATGCTGTAATTAAAAAGGAAAATTCTTACCTTAAACGAAATGAAAATGTAAGACGCCATATATTATCGCATGTGTATTCTTGCGGGACAACATTTATGTTAATATATCTTCCAAAGCATGTATTATTGCATGAGCAAGTCATGTAGTGCACTTTCAAGAGAAATTTCTATGACAATTATAAGTATTTTAGTCAAGATACCCCCTAATCACATAAAAAATAGTGTGCAAATAGATTCTCATTTAATAAAAAACTCGCTTCCCGTAAAAAATAATTATTAACTGTCTTTTGTATTCATACATATTCAAATATTACTTTTACATGACTTACAAAGCGTTTTAGAATAATGTGCAATGCACGTTCAACTCTGACCGATTTTGTAAAAAAGGTGTAGAACATAGGTGCCAAATTTATGAGAAGTTGACGACCTAGTGATGAGTGTAATTCACTCATTAAACATGACCTAGTGATGAGTGTAATTCACTCATTAAACATACGCCTCTAAATCACGGATTTTAGCTTGTTCTTGAGCACTTTTGAACGTTTTGATGTGTGTGTTCCTATTGTCTTGCAGCTCAATCAACATTCGAAAAAACACTATAATTGGGAGCTTGTGATTAATCTAAATGATGATCATAAAATAGAGGCATAAATTAGAGATAAGAAAAGAAGATTGTAATGGAAAAGAAGCTTAAAGATGAACGATTTAAGCAAGGAACAGCTTGTTAGGTGCCACGGCGTCTAAATTGGGCGCTACGACGCCCAACAAAAAGAAAAATTCAGCAAAAAGTTGGGCGCCATGACGCCCAGAGTGAAAAGAAGCAGCAAAATAGCTGGCACCGTAGCGCCACGGTGCCAGCACACAATTACATCGCGGCTCTGTGGCGCCAGAGATGTGCGCCACGGCACCAAACCGCGCAACGCCAAAAAGCCTAATTTTTTGGATATTTCTCGGCCCAAGATGTTCCCTAACCACCCAAAATTCGAAGATAACATAAATACCAAGAAAAAACCTAAGGGGAAGCCGTTTTTCTGGTATTCTCTCAGGGCAAAAAAAAAAAAAAAAAGGTGCAAAAGTGAAGATCTATTCAAGAGGCAAGGAAAAGTTGAATTGCATCAAGATTGACAAACAATTGGGGAAGAACAAGCGGCTTCAATCAATTTTTCTAAACCCTTATTTACTATTTCTCATGTTCTTTATCTTTTATTTTGGCATGTCGATCGATTCAAACATGAACTAAATCCCTGATATCCATAGTTTGATTTGATTTTTAGAAATTGTCTCACTTTACTTGCATTCTTTATTCCATTTAAATTAGATTAGCATAAAAACATCATTTAAAAATTGGATTTGTCTAAATAAAGTGAAAATCGAAACAATTATAATACTAAGTGGAATTTGAATATCAATCCCTGTGGGTTCGATACTTTTAAATTCTTCACTATATTACAAAACTTGACACTGTACACTTGCGGTTAAATCATGTTATATAAAACGCGTGGCAAGTTTTTAGCGTCGTTGTCGGGGATTGATTCATTCGAATTCAATTGATATTATTACCAATCGGCGTTCATTTTAATTTAGATTTTTATTTTGATCGTAATTTTTATTTTTATTTTTTTCGTTTTGTGTCTATCCCTAATAGATTCGTTGTGTTTATTTTTAGCTGTTTATGCGAAGGGCGAGAAATCTGGACCCATTACCTATTGATTCTAATCCAGAACGCACATTTCGCATTCTAAGAGGCATACAAAGAAACGAACAAAAAGTAATGGCGGAACAGGAAGCAAGAGCGGCTAATGAGGATAACCAACATAGAGCTATTCGGGACTACATAAGGTCCGTTGTCAATGACAATTATTCCGACATCGCACACCCAACAATTGCTGCAAACAACTTCGAATTGAAGCGAGGGCTGATACATATGGTGCAGTAGAATCAGTTTGGGGTGCTGCAACAGAAGACCCAAATGCTCATTTTGGATCCTTTTTGGAAATTTGTGACACGATGAAAATGAATGGGGTTACTGAAGATGCAATTAGACTTCACCTATTCTCTTTCTCTTTGAGGGATAAAGCAAAGGCTTGGTTCCAGTCACTACCGTATGACTCAATTACAACTTGGGATGATTTGGCTCATAAATTCCTCAGCAAGTACTTTTTACCTTCTAAATCAGCTCAACTTCGCAGTGAGATTAGCCAATTCAAACAACTCGACTTCGAGCCATTTTATTAAGCCTGGGAAAGATTTAAAGACTTGCTTAGGAGATGTCCTCAACATGGGTTCTAGAAATGGGTGCAAATTGAGATATTTTATAATGGGCTAAATGGGCAGACAAGGACTATGGTAGATGCAGCTGTGGGCGGCATTTTAATGGCTAAAACAGCAGAGGTTACCTATGCTTTATTGGATGACATAGCCACCAACAGTTACTAATGGCCAAGTGAGAGATCAAGCGTAAAGAAAGTAGCAGGACTTCATGAAGTGGATCCCATCACAGCACTAACAGATCAGGTTACATCACTCACAAATCAGATAGTCACGCTTACTACTCAAGAAAATCGACAAAAGGTAGATTCAGTCATGAGTACTTCTTCATCACACCAAGAGACAGAGGTTGCAAACGAGCAGGCCCAATATGTCAACAGTAGAAACTACAGTCAAAGAGGAAGCTACCGAGCTAATCACTATCATCCAGGGCTGAGGAATCACGAGAACTTGTCATATGGCAACAATAGAAACACACTTCAACCTCTACCCGAATTCAACACTCAAAATTCTGAAGGGAAACCATCATTGGAAGACATCCTTGGGACATTCATTTCTGAGACAAGATCACGCTTCAACAAAGATAAATCACAGTTGGATAATATTGAAACACATGTGTCCAACATGGGAGCCACAATGAAAAATCTTGAAGTGTAAATTGGTTAGTTGGCAACCTCAAAGGAACACTGTAAGGCCATTGTATTAAGGAGTGGCAAGCAAGGTGGAGAATGTGAACCCACCGAAGATAGCAACCCCACACCCGATAAGGAGAAAGAACAAGTCGTAGAAGAGCAAGAAAAGCAGGCCAAAGGAGCAAATAAGGCTCACATACCGTACTCAATATCCTTCCCTAACAACCCACCAATTCTCACACCACCACTTCCATTTCCACAACGTTTTCAAAAGAAAAAATTTGATGATCAATTTGCAAAATTTTTAGAAATTTTCAAGAAAATTCACATTAATATTCCTTTTGCAGATGCTTTGGAACAAATGCCAAATTACGCAAAGTTTATGAAGGAGGTGATGTCAAAGAAGGGAAAATTAGAGGAATATGAAACAGTAAAATTAACAGAAGAATGCAGCGCTATCCTTCAAAAGAAACTTCCTCAGAAGAGAAAAGATCCGAGCAATTTCACTATTCCATGCACCATTGGAAGCTCTTCCTTTGAAAAGGCCATCTGTGATATAGGAGCAAGCACCAACCTAATACCGTTATTAGTATTCAAGAAGTTAGGCCTTGGGGAAGTCAAGCCAACAACAGTAACTCTACAACTGGCTGATAAGTCCCTTACTTACCCACGAGGTATTATTGAAGACGTGTTAGTAAATGTCGACAAATTCATCTTCCCAAATGATTTTGTGGTATTAGATATGGAAGAAGATCAGGAAATCCCACTGATTTTAGGCAAACCATTTTTAGCAACTGGAAGGGCATAATTGATGTGCAAGGAGGACATTTGACATTGAGAGTGAATCAAGAAGAGATGAGGTCCAACATCTACCAAGCAATGAAGTACTTGGATGACACTAACACATGCCACAGGATTGACTTCATTGATTCTGCTGTGAGCAATGAGAAATTATATATTGAGGATCCCTTGGAGCAGTGTATGATGTTTAGTTCAACAAAGGATGACATCAGCTCTTCTGGATAATATGCAGGAAGCAAAGACCTGGTTGATTGCAAATTGGCTCTAGAGTCTACACCAGTTGAAAACAACCTGTGCCGGGGTGAAGATATTCAGAAATTAGAGGAATTAGAAGATAAAGAAAGCAGCAAAAGCAGTAAGCACTACAACAATTTATACATTTTATAACATTTAAGCATAGCATTTTTTTTATAATGCTATAAATTAAAAATTAACTTTATCTAAATATAATATAATAGCATTTTTTACAGGCCACCAAATTAAAAAAGCCCAAAATCCTTCCCTCCATATCTTGCCAAAACAAAAATCTCGATTTTTTTACCCTAAAATTTTATTTCCTTCCAACTCTCCATCTTCCGTGCTTTCTCCATCTGTCTGTTTTGGTAGGTTTCGATTAATTATGGTTTAGAAAATCCCCCAAATAACAATGAATTCATATCAAATTTACATACTGCGCTACTGATTCTATCATTCTCTCTGGTCTGCAGTTTTCATTTTTTCAGTTGTGGAAGGGATTTTGAAGCATATAAGGTTTGAATCGGGAGATCGGCGGAAATTGTTTCTTCTTCACTACCTTAAAAAGGTATCTTTTTTTTTTCTTTTTTCGGTTCCTGAATTTGAGTGGTAGTTTTTGTGTAATTTTTTGGCAGATGGTATGTCAAACCAGAATCTGCCATTTTGATATGTTGTGGTGTATGAACTTATCTTTCTAGATTTACAAATTTCATTCCTTTCTCATTACATACAGAGAGTTAAGTAAATTTTTAAGCACTAACGTTTTGTCCAGAGAGGTTCTTATGGATTTGTCCAAAATCAAATAGATTCAATTACTGCTCATCTTGGATTTGTTTTGAACAACCTTATTTAAAAGTACACATTTAACTCACCATAGTTGTTTTATCTATTATTATGTTGGAGGAATGAACAAGCCTTACTCAGGGCTTGATAAATTTGTATACCAGACATTTAATGAATTAGACAGGAAAAATACTTAAATAGAGAAATTTGGATGACATTTAAAATGACAAGTAAATTTTGCTTCAAGAAATTCTTGGGGACAGATAGAGGTTTCATAACTGTCATTGGTGCTATTAACTTCAAGAAAGATCGGCATAACAATTCCAGAAAATTTCGGGAGTGATTGTTGCTGTTCTAATCCTTTGGTTCGATTTAAAGCTTGAAGCATCTCTCAGATCCTTTGGTGGTGGAACAACACAAGTTGTCCTGTTAGGTGCAGGTGAGTGCCAAAGCTCCTAACATTTCAATATAGTAAACAAGATATTTCTTTTCGTATGTTTAATTATCAAATTTGCATAATAAAGATGCCATAAGGGAGCTTCAAACATGAGTGCTTGGTTATTCGCAACCGGCCTGAGTATCTGCTGACACACATGGCTCATCTATTTTGTGTTTGCCAATGACAAGCTCATATGTGTGTATGATCATGTATATATGTATATAAATATCAGTGCACATGGGGAGGGGGTGTGTGTTTATATATGAATGTATATGTACATGTTTGTATACATATTTGGTCTCTTATGTGCACAATTATAATTTCTTTCAATTGGCAGTAAAATAAAATATTACTTTAAAGATTGTTGAGCTACTTAGTACTTTTTTGGGTTAATGACGTCTTTAAATATTGGATGTTAATTTTGAATTTTATGGACAATATCACTTTATCCTCAAGTACAATTTTATAATGATTGATGGGAAAACTTTGGAGTTGCACAGATCACGTGAGTTCACATTATGGTGATTAAAGTGCTATTCATTTGGCAAAGAATTAGTTTACGATGCATAAACAAAGTAGAACGATGTTCATTGTCACTTTGGGCGCGAATTTATTTAAGAAGATAGAGACTGCTTAAAATTCTGCAAATATGACGACTAAAGTGTTAATGGATGGGTTAAAACGGGCAATTAGTTGTATAAATTTTTTAGCTACTAATTTCTACTGTGACAACTTAGAAAAATAAATTTTATATAGAACCAAATTTCCCAACAATTACCATCACGATTTACAATTCTTTATTAATTCCATTTCTTAAGAAATTAGTTTATGATTAGCTGAAGTCCAATTCTCATATTTTTAAGAGTCTCCAAGTGGAATCTAGAAAAATAATTAAATAAATAAAATAAAAGCAACAGTGATTATTGATTAAAATTGTGTTAATCGTGATTATAATTTTTTTTAATCATGTAAGCGCATTTCGAATGTACCTTGGATCTACTTGACATGTCTTTGCCCATATCCATATAGTTTAGGAAATGGTGGATTTAAAGATTTATTATCTTATAAGAAATTAATAAATTGAGGATTTTATTACTGAACAAAAGGGGAAAAGACCAATGAATATAAGTATTAAAAAACTTTTTGTATTTAAAATAACAGCATCTGTGAATATTTAGTCAAGTGATATTTTAAAAGTTTCCTTAGATTTTGTCTTTGTTGTGTAGTGCTAAATATTGTTGAATATAAGATTAAAATGTCACATTTCAAATATAGGTATACTCATATATACTATTAGGATAATATTTGGGTTTCCACAAATTATGGATAAAGAATGGGTGCGTCTTAACAGGTAATTTGTACTTTGTCGTGTAATTTACATACTTTATATTTTAAGATAATATCTTAGAACATTGTCTTTTAAAATTGTTAGGGCCTCACAGGAGTCTATAAAAGCTTCAGAAAATTTTGTCATTACTGCTCATCATAATTTAGGCAAACCAGATAAAATTTTATGTCCTTGTAAAGGTTGTCGAAACTTAAGCCATCAATATGTAAATATCGTTGACAAGCATCTGGTCATAAGAGGAATGGATCCGACTTACACAAATTGGTTTCACCATGGAGAAAGACTGATTAGTAATGTTGATACTACAAGTAAGACTGAAATATTCAACTTGTTTGAAGCTGCACATACGAATGAAGAACATAACAAGGAAGTTTTTGAAGAGAATTTGGATGATGATATTAGTCGATTGATAATGGATGCTGAAACTCCGTTGCATCCAGGAAATGAAAAATACACGAAGCTATCTTCAATTGTGACCTTATATAAGCTTAAAACTATTAGGGGTTGGTCAGATAATAGCTCTACAGAACTTCTAAATACATTACATGATATGTTACCTGAAGGTAATGTAATTCCTACATCCACACTATGTGTAAGAAAATTGCTTAAGACATTTGATTTAGGATATGAGAAGATTCATGCACGTGTCAATGATTGTTGGTTGTTTAGAAACGATAAAAATGAACTAGATAGCTGTCCAAAGTGTGGTTCTTCGAGATGGAAGGTCGATAAGCAGACACGAAAGAATAAAAATGTTGTACCTGCTAAAGTCTTCAGATACTTTCCTATAAAACCTAGATTCCAGAGGACGTTTAGTACATCAAAGATGGCTGAATCATTAATATGGCGTTCAACCAATCAGAGTGTTGATGGTAAAATGCGTCATCCAGTGAATTCTCCATCTTGGGCTTTAATTGATAACAAGTGGCCAGATTTTGCAAATAATCCAGGCAGTCTTAGGCTTGGGCTTGCTACGGATGGTTTCAATCCATTCAACAATTTTAGCTTTACCTATAGTTGTTGGTCAGTGGTGATGGTTATTTATAAGCTACCACCATGGTTATGTATGAAAAAAGAAAATGTAATGTTGTCATTGTTAATTCCAGGGCCTCAATAGCCTGGGAATGATATTGATATATATTTGCAACCACTTATAGATGACTTGAACGAATTGTGGAATATTGGGATGAATGTGTATGATGCACACACTAATGCAGCCTTCAACTTGAGAGCAATACTTATGTGGACTATTAATGATTTACCAGCTCTTGAAAATTTAGCTGGATGTAAAATTAAGGGTAGGACAGATTGCCCTATATGTTCTCAGAATACTCATTCACAGTGGTTAAAATTCGATAGAAAATTTGCATACATGGGTCATAGGAGATTTTTGTCACCATCTCGTCTGTTAAGGAAAAAGAAATCTTGGTTTGATGGACATGAAGAAAAGGGAAGCAAACCTAAAATTATGTCTGGTGGCAACATTCTGGTTACTCTTAAAGATTATGTCAACAATTTTGGGTAAGCTCAGAAATGAAAAAGAAAGACAGATTATGGGAGCATGCTAACATAGAAAAAGAGATCAATCTTTTTTAACTTACCATATTGGGAGGTAAGATTTTGGCACTCTCCAACTTTTATTCAATTTTTTTCAATTATTTGAATATACTTTTTGTATGAAACTAACAAAATCTTTTTCCTTTGTTACATTATTAGGTGCTACCATTACGTCATAATTTGGATGTAATGCACATTGAGAAAAATGTATGTGAAAGCATTGTTGGTACATTGTTAGATATAAATGTTAAAACAAAAGATGGATTAAATGCTCGTAAGGATTTACAAGACATGGGAATTATGAAAGAGTTACATCCAGAGGACCGAGGTAATAGAATTTACCTTCCTCCTGCTCCACATACGTTGTCAAGGTTAGAGAAACAAACATTTTGTAAAAAGTTGTTTAACTTGAAATTACCCGATGGTTACTGTTCAAATGTAGTCACTTGTATATCAGTAGATGAATGCAAAATTATTGGCCTCAAGTCACATGATTGTCATGTCCTCATGCAACAACTTTTGGCTGTAGCATTAAGAGGATTACTTCCAAAAGGACCAAGACATGCAATTTTTAGACTGTGTACATTCTTCAATAGATTATGCCAACGTGTTGTTGATAGGGAGAAAATAGCAATATTAGAAGATGAAGTAGTTGAAACGTTATGCAGTCTTGAAAGATTCTTTCCTCCTGCATTTTTTGATATCATGATACATTTGGTGGTACATTTGGGAAGAGAAGTACGATTATGTGGTCCAGTTCACTATCGTTGGATGTATCCTTTTAAGAGGTGAGAAATTCACTATTACTTGGATAAATTTACACACATAATTTCATTCTTAGTACTATTTTGTTTACTTCATTTAATTATAGACATATGAAGATATTCAAAGGATATGTGAGAAATCGTGCACGACCCAAAGGTTGCATAGCTGAATATTATCTTGTAGATGAGTGCATGAATTTTTGTATCGAGTTTATGAAACAAGTAAGAGAAATTGGTCATCGAGAGGGGCGCAATCAAGATTATGTTAGTAATGAAATTACTGAGGGACGTCCCATTTCTGCTCCAAATTTTATTGCACTTAGTGATGAAATGTTGGAGATAGCACATCGTTATGTATTATTCAATACATCTTATGTGGAACCTTATTTGGAGTAAGTCATCCACTTTTTATATTAATAAGTGTAGAACATGTATATAAATTTGTAATCTCTGATAACTTGCTTATTATTAGAATGCATAAAGAGAAGCTCAAGCCAAACAATAGAAGCCTTGAAAAAAATGAAAGCTTGCTTTAGAAAATTCACACGAAGAAATTATCAGTTTGGTTAAAGGAAAAGGTTGTACATAATGTTAAAAAATTCTTATCTTCTCATTATGATACTATATATTTACATCACTGATACATGTCTAACTTTTTTCGTAGATTAAAGTAGGTTTCACCATAAGTGAAATATCAGATGTTCTAAAATGGTTGGAATATGGTCCTAAAATGCAAGCAGTCTCCTCTACTAGATCTATTAGCAAAGAACAACGTTTCCACATAAAAGATGTTGAGAAAACTACACAGAATAGTGGTGTATCAATTGAAGTGACAACCATGTGTAAAGCTAGTGCAAAGGATAATGCACAAGTTTATGATGTTGATGCATTTTATGGAGTCATTAGAGAAATAATTTCATTAGATTACCACATAATGAAGATTCCTCTCTTTAAGTATGATTGGGCAAATGTTGGTAACAGTGTTAAAGTGGATGATTGTTTTACACTTGTTAATTTACACTAAGGTCAAAATAATTTTGTAAAAGATCCTTTTATTTTAGCATCACAGGCCAAACAAGTGTTTTATTCAAGAGAAAATGATTCCTCTAACTGGTACGTGGTTTTGAAAGCACCACCTCGAGGATTTCATGATCTAGAAATGTATGATGAGAATGAGGAAGTCAGTGTTAGAAATAATGTTTCACTGAACATTGATTATGTGAACGAGGAAATTAGCTATGTAAGAGGGGATTGCGAGGGTACTTTAATTTGACGATTGTAAATTTTAATTCAGAAATAAAAAGATCCTTTTGTAGTTAGTTTTATTTGTGTTTTCTTGTGCTTCCTTGAAGCATTGTAATGTTAATATTATATTATTGTTTGTATTTTTCCGTTGCCTTGCAATGATGAGTATTGTTTATTCATTTTTTTATGTCATTTTCTGAAATTTTGACATAGAATGCTAATCATGATTTTTATATTTTCTTAAATAGGCTAGATATTATGGTGAATATTAGAAAGAAGGTTGTTGATGATTCCAAAGCTCTACGTAAAAAAGAGATCAGTACGAAAAACTACACGTGGACAACTTAAAGTAGCCAACACATTTCATCAACATTTTAACTCTCTGGATGCTCCTACTAGGTCTTTCTACAGCATGAATATGCGTAAGGATCTCGTGAAAAATTATTCACTTGTTGATTTACCAAAAAACTGTACAATGAGGTCCATCACTAACACATTTACAGATGAGGCATCACATGAGGTTACCTCAGAAGATGATGTAGACATGAGTGGTAATGAAAACCAAAGAACACATGTGGAAGATACGAGTCTATTACAACAAAATGTTACACCTTTTGAAGGAGAGGCTCAACAAGTCCAAAAGAAGAAGAGAGACCCTACCCAAATGAAGAATTTGAACGAAGTCATTGCTCCAATTGAAGTAAAGTTTAATGAAATGGGACAATCGCTATCTACCACTTTATCTTCCTCTCTAGGCCGTCTTGTGAGGGAGACTGTACCGTATACTCTTGTTGGTTGGTGATACCTTTCAGATGATATGAAACTTGTTATGTGGAAAGATATTCAGGTACATCCTTCAAAATAATTTGATGTTATATAATACAACATAATAAATATTTGATAAAATTGAAAATTTGTAACTTGCAGCAAAGGTTCAAAATAGATGAAGAATGACAAAAAAAACTACATTTTTAAAGAAATGGGTGGTCTCTGGAAAGTGTCGAAATCTTGACTTGTGAAAAAAATTAGAGAAGCACCAAATGAAGCTGAAAGAATGAAACTCAAACCTGATAATATACTTAAATCCCAGCAATGGAAGAAGTTTGTGAAGGAAAAGACGAGTACAGAATTTATGGTAAATTCTGCCTTTTCCCTTTTTTTAGATCAAATTTATTATAAGCTATGATTAATTATCAATAAACTTATATAAGTTTGGAAATATGATTGTTAGGCTAAAAGCCAAAGATTTAGACAAATTCAAGAAAAACAAATCCCACACACATGCAGTCGCAAGAGATTTGCCAGATTGCGTGAAGATATGGTAACATTCCACAAGCCTTCTTTAATTTGACTAAGTAAATCATTTGCTCCAGATTTTTATCATATAATTCTCCACTCTCTTAGCAAAAGAAGAGCAGCAATCCATCTTCTATAGGTCATAAGGAGGTTTGGGCAGCAGCACGTATAAAAAAGAATGGTGAACTTATATGCAAACTTGTTGAAGAGACGCTTGTAAGTATAAATAATTTATTTTTCCTAGTTCTATATATGAGTGCATGCACGTGTGTGCGTGCGCGCATATATGTATATATACACTTATATATTGTCTTTTTAGGAAAAATTGAAAGATGTGAGTCATCATGCCTCTAACATTAACATAAAAGAAGATGCTCTTTCTAAAGTACTTGGTCCAGAGAATACTGGACGATTACGAGGGATTAGAGGTGTAGTTTACTATACAAAGTATTCCATATTAACTCAAAAGGAGTCTACTGTAGCTCATTTAAAGGAAGAACAAAATCATCTAAAGGTTCAAGTGGCAGATATGGAGAAAACAATCAATAACTTAATGAAAAAAAAGGATAGTAAGTTCCTTTAAGTGAAATATAACTCATACGCTTTTACTTCACATAATATAGTAACTAGTTTCTAAAGTTTTTTATCTTTGTAGTTTCAGGAGAAGCAAAGTGAAGAATTATCTAACATTCAACTGTCTTTATCGGTAAAATTTATCATTCCTTTTAATTGACAATATATATTTATTTTTAAAATTGTCTATAACATGGCTCCTAAATTTGTGTTGTTGAAGAGTGTAAACAACAATACACTCAACAATAAGTGTACGTTACTAGATTGGACCGTACTAGGAGAAGAGGTAGCAGAAGGACGTTGGTCTTCAAATGATCCAAAAATATTGGTTCATCACGGTCCTCTAGGACCTAATGCTGTGAGAGTTTGGGTTGATGTAGCATTGAAACTTGATGCATTCTTGTGGAGGCCTACTTCTAATATGACTTATATTGAAAAATGTGTTGGTACCACAGTTGCAGGCCAATTGACAAAGTTGTCATCGAGTAAATAGCATAGACAAAAAGGTCAAATTTTATACGCTAGCACCTTCGAGCACTAATTAGAGTTTTGAATGTTTTTACTTTACATTATTTTACAATCTAATAAGTTGTATCACTTGCTAATTTTCAGATTTAAATGCTTTATTGGATTGACGGATGTCTTCTCCAAACTTGTTGCAAGAGTTCAAGGAATTTCATTTTGAAGAAATAGAATGAGATCATTCTAATTTGATTTTGTTTATTATCTTTTCGAGCTTATATTGCTGCCAGTAATTGATATGAAGACGAAATATAATTAGATTTCTCAATGAATTTCAATATTGATGAATGTTTTGAATGTATTATTGGTCTTGTTATTGTTGTTCATATTTTCTGTCCAAAAAATAATGTTATTGAATATTTACATTTGATAATTAAAGAATTAGGAATACTGTGTAATATGTATACATTACAATCAAAAAATGCTATTAAAAATAATACATTATATTCAAAAAATGCTATAATTATTAAAAATTATGATGAAAAAGAATGTTATAAAAGATGTAACATGACAATTAAAAAATGCTACTAAAGCTAAAAGTATGACAAAAAAAAAGCTATTGAATTAAAAAAGAATGCTATAAATACTAAAACCACGACGATAAAAAAATGCTATGTAAAAGTTTTTTATAGCACTTTATAATAGTATTTATAAAACGTTATAATAGAGGTATGACTTTTAATAACACCACCTATGATAGCATTTTGGAAAATGCTATGAAACATTATAGATAGCATTTTTCGCAAGTTATAGAAGACTTGATATGTTGTAGTGAAGATTGAACTGAAGCAATTACCAGATCACCTCCGCTATGCATTTCTGGGGGACAATTCTGCATTTCTAGTGATCATTTCTTCATCACTCACCAGGGACAAAGATGACAGATTATTGAAAGTGTTGAGGGATCACAAGGCCGCTTTGGGCTAGTCGATAGCTGACATCAAGGGGATAAGTCCTACAATCTGCATGCATAAAATCCTCATGAAAGATTCCTACAAGCCATCCATTGAACAACAAAGAAGATTAAACTCAGCAATGAAAGAACTGGTTCGAGCCGAGATACTAAAGTTATTGAAGGCAGGGATCATATTCGCCATTTCAGACAGTGAATAGGTCAGCCCAATGTAGGGAGTACCAAAGAAAGCAGGGATGATTGTAGTTAAGAATGACAACAATGAACTAATTCCAACTAGAATAGTAACTAGATGAAGGGTGTGCATTGACTATAAGAAGCTGAACAAGGCAACTAGAAATGATCATTTCCTACTCACTTTCATTGATCAAATGTTGGACAGATTAGTGGGTTATTCTTACTATTGTTTTCTTGACGGGTATTTGGACTACAATCAAATTGCTATAGTGCTAGAAGATCAGGAAAAGACAACTTTCACTTGTCCTTATGGAATTTTTGCCTACATAAGGATGTCATTCGGGTTATGCAATGCACCGATCACCTTTCAAAGATGCATGATGGCGATCTTTGCGGACATGGTTGAAGACATTATGGAGGAATTATGGATGACTTTTCGGTGTTTGGTACTTCTTTTGACAACTGCCTTCACAATCTCTCATTAGTGTTACAACGCTGTGAGGAAAAGAATTTGGTTCTAACTAGAAAAAGTGTCACTTCATGGTACAAGAAGGAATTGTACTAGGTCACCAAATTTCAGCGAAGGGACTTGAAGTTGACAGGGCAAAAATTGATACAATTGTAAAGCAACCACCACCCAACAATGTCAAAGGCATTCGAAGTTTCTTGGGGCATGTTGGATTCTACAGGAGATTCATCAAAGACTTTTCAAAAGTAATTAAACCTCTATGCAACCTTTTGGAGAAGGACACAACATTTGCATTTGATGATTACTGCCTAAGGGCATTTGAAACCATAAAGGTAAAATTGGTAACTGCTCTAGTGATGGTAATACC